CGCCCCACCCCCCCCCCCCCCCCCGCCCCCCCCCCCCCCCCCGCCCCCCCCCCCACCCCCCCCCCCCCCCCCCCCCCCCCCCCCCCCCCCCCGCTAGCCGGGCGCGAACGCGACATGGCCCGGCGACGCCGACCCCCGCGACCGGGCGCGCTGGCCGAGCTGCCGCCGCTCAAGATCCTCAGCCAGATGGCGGCGCTGCAGGGGCTGTACTACGCGGCGGCGGTCGTGCTCATGTTCTTCAACACCCTGGTCGCCGGCACGCGGTTCGATCTAGACCTCGTCCTCGGCTGGGCGGCCATCCGGGGTGACACGACGCAGGGCTGGCTGATGGCGTTTCTGTGGGTGCTGGACGGCGGGTTCTTCATGTAATGTCTTTTGCCCTTCCTTCCCCTTAACCCAGTCAGTCGGTCCTTTTTGACAGGGGAATCCCCCCAAGCTGACGTGACCCGTTCACAGGTCCCTGGCCATCATCCTCTTCGTCGTGCGCTCCAAGCTCGTCATCGACTTTGCCCTGTCCATGCACGTCATCCACCTCGTCCTCGTGGTCCTGTACTCGCGCCAGGTGCCCCGCCACGCAATGTGGTGGGCCTGCATGGCCGTGTCGAGCACCCTCGCCGCGTGCCTCAGCACCTGGGGCTGCCGGTACCGCGAGCTCAAGCCCATACCGTTTGGCGGCGGCGGGGCCGCAGCAGCTGCTGCTGCGGATGGGGGTGGAGGCGAGGGCAGCAGTCGTAATGCTGGGGGCGGCGATGCTGGGATCGAAGGCGATGAGGAGGAGGGGTTTTCGAGGGGGAGGGGAAGGGGGAGGGGGAGAGCTGGAGGGGGCGAGTATGAGATGGTGCATATGAAAGGGGATGCGGACAGGTGATGGGATTCTCCAGGGGCATGAGATGTCAAGACATGTAGTATTGGTTTTGTTTCGAGTATCACGGGCAAAGGATGCATAGCATGGCCTGGCGTTTTTGGACTGTACAAGCAGTAGAACTAGGGATGGGTAAGAGCTGGGTCCAGACGATCCGGCAATGGATGAGTTTTTTTAGTCTGTATAGATACCTAGCTAAGGCGTCGGCCTCGAGCGTAATAGTGTTGTTAGTGGTTGCTCTATTGCTGTCGAGTTCCAACTTTGGATTGCTGAAGACATGTTTTGAAACAACTTTAGCCCTATGCTTCAGGTTCCAGTAACAGATCTAATGATATACTGGAGGAGATTCTTTAGGAGCTTCTTTAGCCTCACGTTCGTTCTTGTTCAAAATCGACTACTTGTCTGCGGGAGTCCCAAGCATATGCTGTCTTTAGACCAAGATTCTCATTGAGCTGGCTACAGACCAAAACCCTCATTGTGAAACCAGATTGACCGACCCTTCATAGCCCAAACGCCGACATGCTCCCTGAGCTCCCGCGCCATATCGTCGGGCCCACATACTAGAATCGCAACCCGCTCCTCGCTCCCGTACCTGAAGATATCATCTACTATCTTCTTTAGGTCCGGTCGTTTCCGGTTGTGGTGAGATGTGTATCGGTTGCGCCTCCGGTCCCGGTACATGGAGCTCATCTCGACTTCGCTGTCAGTTTCTCCTGCCGCGGAGCCATTTCTCTCCCCGTTGCTGCCGCCCATCCGAGCCCAGCTCCCCCCTGATCCTGGAACCGATGCCGCGCCAGCCACCGAGTCCACGATATCTCCGGTTAAGAATATGTGGACGTTGTCGTCGTTCAAGATGCTCTTCCCAGCACCCGTTGCCGCGACAGCCCAGGTCGCGTCTGCGGCCCCGCGCACCGCCCAGATCATCTCGACCTTGGCGTTTGGATTGTCGTGGGCGATGGACCGATATAGGGGGACGGTGAAGGTGGCACCGATCCCGCCGGCGACCAGGAGAATGCGCGAAAACTCCCCTCCAGCCAGGTTGGGGAAGTGCTTTACTATGCCGTAAGGACCCTCGATGCATAGCGGTATCTTCCCTTCCTCCCTCGGCGCAATATTGCTCGCATTCACGGGGGTTTGCCTGGCAGCAAATCTTGCCAGAGCTGCCGTCAGGGGCCCGCCCATGCGGCGGGCGACCAAGGTAATATCTCCTGTCTCCTCGTCGACTGCGGCTACTGTGAAGGGGTTGAAGAGGAACTCAAAGAGTAGGAAGGAGAGAGACGCAGGATTGGAGGACGGCCGGGCTGCAGCGGGGACTGAGAGGTAAATGTGGGAGCCGGGATGTGCGCGGAACTTGTTGGCTCTGCCGTAGGGGACGGAAGCGGAGATCTTGACAAGATCGGTTCCGGGAATGGACTCCAGAGTGGCCTGCGAGACAATAGTGTCCATCTTGCGGGAGACCAGATCTGCAAGGAAGACTATCAAGGCCTCGCCCACGAAGAGGCGAGCTGGTCGGGCGTGGAAGAACACGAGCACGGGCATAACCAACGCCGCAGTGAGGTGAGTGACGAAGAATGCTCGATAGGAAAACCGCCGAATGGATTGCAATGCGGTTACGCTGAGTAGGCTCAAGCACAGGAAAGCTACCACGCCGGCGAAGACGATTGGGGCAAAGAAGCGCTTTCCAAGAATACCGACGCCGACGAAGTAATTGATGTAGAAGGCGGCATGAAGACAGAGCAGGGTGTAAATGACGCGGCCGAGGGCCCGGTGCATGCGGTTGACCTGCTCGTGAGACGACCGGAAGACGTATACAAAGGGGTTAAGCGACTTCAGGGACATGAGATATAGAATCGGAAGCTGAGACACGGCGATTGCGCCGAAGCGTTTGGTCAAGTGTAGGTAATCTAGATGGAGTCAGTGGCCTGCTTAGATACATACGCCGCCAGCGTCATCCTGAATGAAGCTGATCCTGCGACATGGCTCCCCCGTGATGAATAGATCGCAAATATCATGCCGACAGGGGTTGGGGGAGCAACAAAATGCTTACCGTGGCCGGTGCCAACAACACATAGAACCAACATCCAGGCAGCCCACAGGGAGCCAAAGATCCACTGGTCTCTCTGGCCATACAATCGTCCGAAGATGTAGATGTCGTCCCGGAGCCACCATCCCAACTTCCGAGCCTGAGTGCTCCATGCGCCCCATGCCGTCCGGTGCTGTACTTTGAGCGACGGAGAGTTGGGGATCACGCCGTACGACCCCCTGCGGCCCTCTGCTACAGACTTTCTGGCCCACGACGCTATTCTGCAGAGCAGAAACAGTGTCACGGGTAGCAGGGCGGAGAGCTGTGCATAGGCGGCATAGCGGTTGAGTACCTCCCGGCGAGCGTGCCTTTCTGCCTGGTCAAGGCTGAGAAACTGATAAGGCCAGCCCATCTTCCTTTCGCGCGTCCCCTAGAACGGGGTAATCACAGGCAAAAACGACGGATGCAGCAGGTCGTGGGGACGTCTGCTGAGCCGAGATAGGTCATTGATCGACAGATAGCTAGCCGGGCGGGGAGGGAAAAGGAGGAATCAAAAGCGCCAGCTGGACTTTAAGGCTGGCGTCGCGAAATGCGAAGAGCCGTGCCGTGACCCTGCCGCCCGCAGTCCCGTCCTGTGGGGCGTGCACTATTAAACAGCTTGCGTCTGACTCGCTCGGACCCCTACCTTAGGTCGTTACCGAATCTGTAACTATTGTTATTAGTGTCTTCAGCTCGTAGCTGAAGGCCAATGTCATATTGATATATTTACCCTCGCCTACAAGCTTTGCAATAGAATGGGATGGCATATCTACTCTCTCCAGGTCGAGTTCCTCCGCCCTGCCTCTGAGCGCGGACGGTATCATGCATTTATAAGCTACCTAGGTAGGTATGTACCTACCTAGCACTGATAGGGTAAGGTACCACTCACCTAAGACCCCACAGCGGATCCAAACTAGTGGTCCAGACTACTGACGTAACGCCTGCATTGACCCGTTCTTTTTTCCCTACCTTCCATTCGCCAATGCTAATTCCGCAGCTGTATTTTTCTCAACGTAGAAGCTTCATCAGACTAAGGCGCAACCTAACACCCACCGCGCAATGCAATGAGACTCAGTTCCCATACCCGCGTTTTGCGCGGGCCTGTCCTTACCACACGAAACTATGCGTCCATATCCCCAGTTCTTCTTGCCATAGCCTCCATCCCGAGGTGCCAGTCTTCACGTGCTCTGCACCATGGCCGGCATATCCATTTCTCTGCAACCCCTCCGCGGCTGTCCGCGGTGCCGCAGCCGCAGCATAAGTCGTCTACGGTAGAGACCACACATCCTCCACTTCAGACCCCAATCGCACCGCAACTCTCTCCCACAGCCGCGAACCCCCCAGCCACGACCCGGCCGCCGCCTCTCGACCTCCCGACCCGACAACCTGAAACTTCGACCTTCTCGCACCTCCTCGCAACCGCCAAGGCCTACGTGGCCTTCTACAAGACCGGCCTCCGCCATATCTACACCAACACCCGCCTCGTATGGTCCTCCCAACCAGGGAACACCTCCCCACCCCCGGGTACGCGCGCCCACCTCCTCCTACATGAGCGCTGGCGCCACGACGCGCGGCGCGTGCCGCTGTTCGCGCTCATGCTCCTCGTGTGCGGCGAGTTCACGCCCCTCGTCGTCCTCGCCGTCCCGCGCATCGCGCCCCTGACCTGCCGCATCCCGGCCCAGGTATCGCAGATCCGCCGCCACGCCGAGGGCCGGCGCCGCTGCTCGGCGGACGCGCTCCGGGCGCGCGTCGACAACACCGCCGGCGACCGGGAGCTGCCCTACGGCCTCGTCGTCGGCCACATGGCCCGCTCGCTCGGCGTCGTGTCCCCGCTCTGGGATCGCGTCGGCTGGGTGCCGGCGTCCCTCGCCGGGGGCGCCGCGGGTGCGCGGCTGAGGTTCTTGGCTAGGGACGACGCGCTGCTGGTGCGGGCGGGCGGGGTCCCCGCGCTGGAAGCCGAGGAGGTCGAGCTGGCGTGCGCGGACAGGGGCATCGGTACCCTGGGGAGGACGGACGGCGAGCTGAGGGACGTGCTGGCGCGGTGGCTGGCCCTGACGGCGGCGCACGACATGGGCGCCGAGGAGAGCACGAGGAGGATGATGGCGCTGCTGATGCAGGAGGAGAGGGCCTGGCCCAACACTTGGCCGGAGGCGGAGGGGGCTGAGAAGCGCGGCTCGTGATGCGCCGTGGGATATGTGGGATATGTATATCTACCCTGTCAGGAAAGAGACGTGAGCTCTCTGCTCTGTATTTAACATTTGTACGATGGCAACCTCTATATATAACCAACTTAACATAGACAATCTCATCTTGAAACGGTCACAAAAGATAGCAAGTGCCAGTGCTAAGGCCTTATTAAACGCCCACCAGCGCGTGCAGGGGAAAATTGATGGGATTGATTAACTAACTCATTATTTTCTTTCCGCTATATGATGCTACGATACCTCTAAAAGCGCCTTTTTTTTATTCCTCCAGCCATCTAACCTAGTCTACCGTAACTCTGCCCTAAGACTTCTAGGAAAGAAACTTCAAGCATTCCCAACAAAGCGGGTTTGGACCCGCCTAGCAAGAAGAGAGGAGAAGAGCCGAGCTGGACACTTAAACGCCATGTCACTGTCGGTACCTAGATAACGTGGCCATGATGTTCTGGACCTGCTGTGCCGTGTCCGCCTCGCCGGAAGCCAGACCAGGCGCAGGGCCGCCTGCGCCTGGTGGGAGGGGGTGAGAGCCCCCGGCCAAGGCGTACGCCGGATGAGCTCCGTAGTTTGCCATGCCGGCCGGTCCTGACGGCGCCGCCGGGGCTGCCCCGAGGCGGCCCAGCAGAGCGTTGATGTCTATCTGGGCATTCTGTGCGACGACTGCATGGTTGGCTCCAGGTGGTTGAATGGTTGACGGCGCTGCGGCGGTGCTTTGGCCACCTTGGAGAGACGCCAGAAGGGCCTGCAACGCCGTGTTATCTAGCTGTCCAACTACGGATGCGATATCCTGAGCTGATGCTGCTGGTTGGTGGTGGGGCGCTGGGGCCGGCGCGTGTGGTGTCTGATATGGGTATCCGGCAGGCTGACCCGGATAGCGGTACGGCGGCTGGCCATACTGGTTCGGCGGGTATGCGGGCGCGGCCGGGTGCGGCGGCTGGGGTGCCGCTTGAGTCTTGGTACGGTAGACAAGTTCGGCGGCTATCTTGGGATCGAGGTCCTGGTACTGATCAAAGCGGACGTTGTTGATGCCTGCTGACCGATCAAAGACTTGGAGGGGTATCTTGCCCAAGGTTTGCGCCCGCAAGTCAAGTTCGATTACGCCATGCACACCTTCCAGGACCTGCCTTTGCAGGACCGCGTCGCGGGGGAACCGGGGATTGAGGAACATAACGTCGGATCTCAGGCCCCTGTCCAGGAATCCTCTTTGGACCCAGCTAACGAAGTCCCGCTCCACTTCCTGAAGCAGGAGAAGCTGGACGTCTGGAACCTCGTCACCGTACCGTCGCGGAATATCTAGACGGTCACCCTCTGACGGCCCATGCCGCCGAGGGCTAGGACTCCTGCGCCGGTACTGATCGCTATTATGTCGCCCATGGCGCGGGGGGGACCGAGACCGGCCCCGTGAGCTGCGGTCGACCGATGGAAAATGATTGCGGTCGCGCCCATATGTGTCGTCCCGGCGCGGTGATGCGGACCGCCCGGGCCGATAGTCATCCCTCCCCCTTCGACCTTTCTCTCTGCCATCGTAGCGATCCGCACCTCGACCACCGCGGTCTCCACGTTGATTCCTACGATCGGGTGAGCGTTCCTTCTCCTCCTTCTTCTTCTGCATGCGAGAATATTCCAGGTCTGATACATGGTTAGCAGCAGGATCTGCTTCACAGTAGCAGCTTGGACATTACTCACGTATCTTGCGCCCTCCGAGCTCGGCTCCCTGTGCATGCTGCATAGCAGCCTGGGCATCCGCGACATGGTGATATTGGACAAAGCCATATGCGCTCTTCAGAGAGATCTGTGCTAGGCGTCCAAACTTGTGGAACAGTTCAAATACCTCGGATTTGGAGACCCTCTCGCTCGAGAGATTTCCTTTGTCTTGCTGTTAGACACAGCCAAGAAAGTGGCGACGAGAGCAGAAAAACTCACCAATAAATATGCGGGAACCGTCAGGAAACCTCTCCCATTTGGCCTCGGTCATGTACCGCTTCTCATCGGCCTGGAATGCCTCCCAGGCTTGCTGAGCTTGGAGGCGATGACCATCCCCCGGAACGTTTCCCCCGGCGGGGGCAGTTGGCTGTACGTGGGCCAAAGAGGCGAAGGGCTGGGAGCCATTGAAGGACGTGGACGGGGGCGGTGGCAGAGAGGAGATGGCATCATTCGTGGTGCCAGGTGGCGCGGCAGCCATATACGTGGTATGCGGGATGGCTTGCGCCGCAGCAGCAGGGGGGCCAGGCAGCCCTGGGGCAAGAGGCGCATGTGGATTGGCAGTCTGCGATTGGAAGGGATGAAAATCTTCGGGCCGCGAAATGGGCTGGTCGGACTGACGGGCAGGCGAGGAGGGTCTGGGAGGAAGCGAGGTGGGCTGAGATACATTCAGAGGAGCAGGGAGTGGTTGAGAGACGGTAGGAGGGGATTGGGACGTGGGTGGGTTCGCGGCAGAGGCTGTAGTGGCCCTGGCAGTAATATCGTCTACCAACTTCTGGATATCAACAGTGGATTTATCATCTCCGGCAGAGGCAGATGCGGGCTCCTCCCCGGCAGAGGTGATGGCCGGAGACTTGAGGGAGTTGTCGGCAGCAGGCTCTGGCGGTGGCGCCTCCGCAGCGGCAGCACCGGGCTCGGCTGATGGCTCGGTAGAGTTCTCGGTAGAGCCGAGATGTTGCTGGACTGGGCTGCCTGGGCGGGAAGAGTCTGGGGATGGTGACGAATGAGAAATGGGGGCAGGAGGAGAAGCAGGAGCGGCAGCGGCAGCTGGGGACTGGCTCTTCAAGGTATCAGGTGCGGAGGAACTATTCATGGATTCTGATGCCTTCGGTACATCTGGTTGAGTTGCAGGCTCAGCCTCATGCTCATGCTCATGCACAGGCTCATCAGACTCATCCTCATTCTGAGCTTGGGGCGGAGAATCAAAGGTTCTCGCATAGTCATCGTTGCCAACATCTGGCTGGTTCTTCTGCGCCTGTCCATCATCGCCCTCGCTGTAAGCATCGAAGCTGTCATCATCGGCGACACTCAAACCCTGGGAATCATCTGAGTAATCACCGCCAACTACTATGGTGTCGGACATTTCTGCTGGTTCCGGGTTGAAGGCCATGGTGGCGTATTTGGCTGCCGCAGGCGAGTCCAGAGATGCTACGTCAAGAGTTTTGGCGTGGTCCTGGAGATTGAAGACGGTCCTGGGAGAAGAAGTGTGGAGGGGAGAAGGTGAGAGTGGGCTAAGGTCGGCAGCGGCCACGACTTCCGGAGATTGCGCTTTCATCAAATGCGGGGAGGCGATTGCTGTAACCGGCGGGGTGCAAGCAAAGATCGTTGCAATCACGACAGAGATTGACCTGGAGAATTGTGTCCAGATTAAGGCGCAAGGTGGCACATGCCTATGTTCATGGAAATAAGCCGCCCAGATCTGGATAGTCGCTGCAGATGGCGAATGGAGCAAGGGAACGAGAGAAAAAGCAACCGGAAAGGTTGTGCAACGGCGATTCCCGCGACGCCACGGAAGAAAATGTGTACTCCGAACATGCCTCCGAAAAAGCTGATCGAAATTGGCAGGTACCACGACACTACTTTGGAGCACGTGACTACCTAGGTAGACATGAGGCTTGTCAGCATCGCCTGAACCTAGGCTAATAGACCAGTTTGTTATTTGGAACTGGCTCAGTTTTGTCATTTGAATAGGTATATATGCATGGATAGATAGTAATAAAACTCTGTTTTATATTCAAACTCGCAGCTTCCTTCCCAGCGTTAATGGATGGAGCCTAGTTAAGGTCGGTTACTACCGCTGTTCGGAATATTCGTTAATGCATATGTGGTTTAACTTAGGTTATTGGTTCGCTTGGATGGCCAATGGTGTCGTGATATTAAGTTGCAGACCTACTGATACGGATACCGCTTCGTCAATTCTTCGACACCTGTCCGCCGAGGACGACATAAAGCCGCAAGATATACCTGGTTGCCAACTTGGGTATGCGCAAATGTTGGATCGCTCGGAAACGTTTTAGTTGCTATATTATATTTTTTTCGAGTTCTTGGTTTTGTGCCGATACTGGGAACCTGACAAGGGCTCTCTTCTCCTGCGTGGGGTGCCCAGAGCTTGACCAGTCCGACCGAATAGTTCATCTTTCTGGAGATATAAGAATCCCCCCTGTTTCTTACCGCGTAGCCAACAGAGACTAGGCCGAGAGGATCTTAAAGAAGATGACATTCCTTCTCCAACCAAGACTAGGGCTGCTCCGGTCTGTGACCTTGGGGCGAACGTCCATTCGTCTGGTACAATATCAGGCCCACGACGCCGGCTTTGACCCAGACGAACTCTTAGAGGCGCGGAAATGGTATAATTCGTTTCAACCAAGTAACATACCAAAAGGGAACACGACCTTTTCCCGCTCAAGCGGTCCCGGCGGCCAGCATGTGAACAAGTGCGTTCATTCCTCATGTCTTATACGCTGGTCTGCAGGCTGATGTTGAAACGTAGGACGGAAACCAAGGCGACAACCACCTGGCCGGTTGCCCAACTGCTATCAATCTTGCCCAAACTTTTACACTCTGGTATCCGATCCTCCAAGTACTACGCCAAACGGAACGACTGCATCAGCGTGCAAGCGCAAACCCAGCGCAGCCGCACCGCCAACGCGGAAGAAAACCACCAAAAGTTGTTTGAAGAGATCCAGAAATTGTACAACAGCACCGTCCCCGGGGAAACAAGCCCAGAGAAAAAGGGGAAGTACGACAGCTTGTAAGTCTTGTTCCTTCATTGCTATAAACAATTGGCACTGATGACCAGCGCAGGAAGAAGAGCTCCAACGAAATGAGAATAAGGGCGAAGAAGCTACTGAGCTCCAAAAAGACGTCTCGCAGAAATACCTACGAGTAGGATCCAAAACCTACGGATCGATCATGCAATGACACACGATATTGACATCGGAGTCGTGAGGTGTCTCTAGGACAAGTGGAGTCGGCCGGTCGGGGGCGGCATGATTGGTCTTCAAAAGGAGGGGCAGCTGAAAACGTGTGCGGCTGACCGTTGGCGATTCTGACTTCCATGAGTGATCACTCAGTACAAACGCCCTTTGGGTAAGCTCAGCTCTTGTCAAGGCTGACACCCTTGACTTTCCAACCCAAAACTCGAGATATCAGTATCTTCTCCTGGCCTCAGTATCTCTATAGTTGCGTGTTTTATTCTTGCTAGTTTGATACCCGCCCAAGAAGTACGCCAGCGGGGAGAGAGACTTCGAATCGCCCAATTGTTTGTCCCTGCATATATCACCATAAAATCTGCAGCACTAAAATCGCTTCGCCTCGTACCTCTCGCCACCATGACTACAGCACCCGCCGGCGAGCAGCCCCAGGCTCCGATCCAACCATGCAGATACAAAGTCGGCAAAACATTGGGCGCTGGGTCGTACTCGGTCGTGAAGGAGTGCGTCCACATCGATACTGGTCGCTACTATGCTGCCAAGGTCATCAACAAGAGACTGATGGCGGGTAGGGAGCATATGGTGCGCGTCCTCGCGCCCTCTTGCCCCAGTTGAAAGCGATCCTTGTTAACCATCCGGCTCCTCTCCCCAGGTGCGAAACGAAATCGCCGTCCTTAAGAAGGTGTCAATGGGCCACCAGAACATCCTCACCCTCGTCGACTACTTCGAAACGATGAACAACCTCTATCTAGTCACCGACCTTGCGCTTGGTGGCGAGCTTTTCGATCGCATCTGCCGCAAAGGCTCATACTACGAATCGGACGCTGCCGACCTGATCCGCGCGACTCTGTCGGCTGTTGCATATCTACATGACCATGGCATCGTACACCGTGATCTCAAGCCCGAGAATCTACTCTTCCGCACCCCCGAAGACAATGCCGACCTCCTTATCGCCGACTTTGGCCTGTCGCGCATCATGGACGAGGAGCAGTTCCATGTGCTGACAACCACCTGCGGCACCCCGGGCTACATGGCCCCCGAGATCTTCAAAAAGACCGGCCACGGCAAACCCGTGGACCTCTGGGCACTGGGCGTGATCACATACTTCCTACTCTGTGGCTACACGCCCTTCGACCGGGATACAGACTTTGAGGAGATGCAGGCCATCCTCAATGCCGACTACAGCTTCACCCCGATCGAGTACTGGCGGGGCGTGTCGGACAGCGCCAAGGACTTCATCAGGCGGTGCCTGACCATCGACCCCAGCAAGCGCATGACGGCGCACGAGGCGCTCCAGCACCCGTTCGTGGCGAGCTGGGCAAAGAGCCCGGCCGACGGCGACAAGGGCCAGAACCTCCTGCCGACGGTCAAGAAGAACTTCAACGCGCGCCGCACCCTGCACGCGGCCATCGACACGGTGCGCGCCATCAACAAGCTGCGCGAGGGCCAGTTCATGAACGGCGCCTCCAGCCGCGAGCCCAAGCGTAACAAGGACGCCGGCAACAACAACAACAACAACGCCAGCCCCAGCAGCAGGCTGGCTGGCGCCGGCGATGCGACACTCGCGTCGTCGACGGCGGCCCGCAAGGACGATGGCGGCGGCGGCGGCGGTCTGGCCAAGGACAGCGGATATGCGACGCAGCCCGAGACGGACGCGAGCGGGGATGTCGCTATGGGCGATGCCCCGCCGCCGGTCCCGGCCAGCTTGCGGCCTGGCTCCGAGGCAAACCGGGTTGTGGAGACGAGTAAGGGCCTGTGGAGCGGCGGCGGCGGCGGTGGAAGTCGGCGGTAGCACAGAGTCGACGGCATTGGCGGCGAGGGGGGAGTTGCCAGGCGGGCAGTTGGATGAGACACATTCAAGGCAGAGTTCATTTGATATCGAGAATGGCGATTTGGGGGGTTACGACATTTGATGAGGGTATGCTTGGGAATATTACGATGACGGTCCTGGGGGCCGGGAAGAGGGTTCAGTTCCATCCATCTTGCGGTCGTTTTTATAGTCCTCCGCTTCTGGGGAGAGAGAAGAAAAGTTGCGAATGGGAACACATGCTCAGCTTGGCCTGAGCCCAATTCGTTATGCCCACCATTTCTTCCACCTCGAGTCCAAAGGTCGCCTTTGTTAATTGTTTGCTATAGTTATCTTGTTCGTTTGCCCCTTCCCAACGACGACAAACAGACGACGGCGGATGATGTGCCGACATTACTAGGTAAGCAGTGTTAGAGACTGGAGGCGGAACATCGGATGGGATCCGAGGCTCCTCTGCACACCTTTTCGTCATCTGGTTATTGGTTCATGATGGCTTCATGTCCGCTTCAGGGGTTCCACAGAGCCAGGGGTTGTAGCCAAACTCCCGCTGGTAGTCACCAAACTGAGAGGATATGGGACTACTGTATGGAGGTAATCTATGCGCTTACAACTACAAGCATTTATTTTGCCATTGAGACAACGCAGCGGTGTTTATTAACCACCTGAGGAGGGCTATGTTTACCATAGCATTGTTGTGTCCCGCAATGTTTGTTGGGAATCGACTCGTAAGCTCACCCCTGAGCGATCAGCACCAGGTTCAAGGTTCAGCTCTGATGAATTCGCTGATCGAGCCGAAGTGCGAATACGAATTACGACCGAGAAAGGCAGACGACATGCGACACCTCGACGATGGGAAGTAATTTGTGGCGCAGTGGCGTAATCGCGGCAACGATATCATCCTTGGTGGCTGTGCTCAAGTGGTTGATTTGATGAGCCAAGCCACAGGGCAGACTGGGCGGGGACTTTTACCCCCAGCATTTTTCTTCCATTGCAGATCAATACCAGGATGACAATAGTGGTAGAAGGAGTGGCCGATAATTGACCCCTGCAATAAAGAAGAAAAAATTGATATGAAAAATGGGTCTGAAGTTATGAACGGGAGCTGACGGGACCCGGAGCTCTCGGATGCACGCAACTTAGCGAGAGTCCGGGACGCGCTACGCTAATTACGACTGGACAGGACGTGTTTTCGCATGGTAGACTTGACTGGAAGATGAACAGTGGATTAATGGAAAAGATCTCACTCCCAACTACTGTAGCTTAGGTACAGTACCTAACTGCAACGGATGGATCGGGCTTCGGGACTTAGATAGCGACGGCAACCCGGTGGGTTGGTACATACATAGCTTCTGTGAGGCTGTTATCTCCCGCCTTAGGTTCTGCAGCAGTAGTACCGGCATCAAATAGTAGCAATCAGGTAGGTAGGTCACATCATGCTGCCACACTCCAAGCTCTCAGGAAGCACGTAGTGACCTGTCCTGTGACTGCCTTGTACAGTAGCGTGAGGCACGCAAATCTCACCAGTCAATGTCTTGCAACAAAGTCCTGTCACTTGACTGGGCTCGAGGCCACTCAAGATGCAGCACCACCAACGCAGTTGTTGGGAGACTGAAAACATTTCAATGGGAGGCCTTCGGGTGGCACTGTGGAGCATCTTGAATGAGTCGCTTTCGTAGGGAGAAGGATTTTTCCAACTATAAAAATACCAAGCCCAAGGATCTTCTGGTGCAATCAATCATCTACCAAGGCAATTTCGCTGACTGGTAGTCAATGTGGGGGCCCCGCGGTGGTGTCGCGTGACGGTTGGGTGTAACTGGGGAGGTTTGGCCCCACCTGAAACGCTGGTACCTTGAATGTGTTGTACCGACGCGGTACACTCTACTGGGCTGTACCTCCCAAGGTGGACTGACTGCCCGCTCAGCTGCTGGAAATCCAGCAAGGGCAACCACTCTGGGCATTTAACGGGCCATGATATCAAACCTTTTTGTTTGCCTCAAGGAAAAGTAAGGCAACACTGCCCAAAGACGACCGAGTCAGGAAAAGGAGGTCAATCTCCGGCCCGGAGAATTATTACGTCAAGATGGTACTGAGTGCTTGGTTCGCAGTAGTAGAGGTTGCTAGGTCATTGGCCCATGCAAGAACTGAACAGACAACTTTGGGCAGAGAGGCATCATACATACTGCATAATGCTTTGCTAGTCGCCGTCGTTCTCTCGCTTGCCTGACAATTCCGCGGCACAATTTAGCGGCCTCCGAGGCCCAGGTCGCTTGGTCGCTTGCAACCTGTTTCCGCCGACAATGCGGAGTCGGGTTAATTTGACGGGCGATCGAGTTTTACCCAGCCACGAATCTGGCGCGAGGTCGATCTTGTGTTGGACCCCTGATTTGCACCGAGGAGACGGCTCAAACGAATAACGCCATTCAAGCACAGACCTGATTGTCAGGTTGATGGAACAGAGAGATGGTCAAACATGGACGACGTACTCCGCACTTGGTAAGGGCTGAAGTCCTCCTCAGGGTGCGTTCGCATTTCGCAGGTATATCGTGTGTTTGTCCCGGCCTCGCCGGATGGTTCGGGTGCCGTGCAGATGCGACATCCAGACGGCGATTGGGCGAGAAAAATAGGTGTAAACAGCTGGCCATGCTAAGCGCCACCGGTTTGCTTACAAGTCAATCGGACTCGGAAACAGCGCAATTGACCGATTGGTAACCCTGGAGACGATGTGGAGAAGGGCTTAGGAGGCGGAACAGGGGTTGGGAGAGTAACGAAACGCCCTAACCGCGATCCTGGGCCCCATCCAGCTTCTCGCCGTTGTGCCCGACAAGCCCATTGAAGGGGCAGCGACAAGGCGAAGTGCTGCAAGAACGGGCGGGCTGTGGCTTCGAATTTTACAGCGAGTGAGTGCACTGACCGTCGAGCAAGCTTGGGCCATGTCCCAAAAGGCGAAGGGATCGGATAAGACGGATAATCCATGTCAGCTGGTTCCCGTCTCGTCCCATAATTGTTTCCATACATTGGAGGTACCTACTTCCCGACCAAGATGGTAGGGTTATCCGCACATGATTTGCGACTTTTCGGGGTGCAGCTGGGGCAGCCCCTGCAGGTTGGACCGTGACAGGAACGTCGTCTCCCTGCTCTTTTTAATTGCTCGACCACGGCCCACTCGAGCGGCTCTTTTAGCATCCCAGGCCGTCCTAGGAATGCTCGTTCGCGCTACGCCGTACTTTGTTAGGCTCACTCGCACTTTGGCAAGGTCCTGGCGAAGGCGCGCCAGGAAGGCTTGGCCTTAATCTCACACACTTCACACTAAAAAAGACATATGAAAGCCGTGCACACCCACCACAGCGCCAACATTACTTGCGTCCCTCCTTTTAGCTCTGCCGTCCGACTTCTCCCGCAAAACCTTCATTGTGTTGCGGCAGAACCGTCCTAGATAACCGTCTACCTCAATCCCCCGATAGCCAGTGTTGAAATATGTGCATTGCTAGTCGGTAGCCTCTCTCTCTCTCTCTCTCTCTTCTGCTCTCGAGGTCCCGTTCATACTTTCTACCTGGCCGCCCCAATCCATCCCCGGTAACCGCCCCCCTTTGCCTGGTGTCGCGGTCGCGGCAGCCCTCGACGATGCAGGAATTCAACGCTCTGCTCGCGCAACCGAAACCGAAGCTGAAGCTGAAGCTGCCCTTCTTATGGTCCGGCTATCTCAATCTTGCGCACCTGAATCCGATCCCCCACAAATACCGACCGAACCGGCGACTGCGAGCGCGCGGGAAGTCATCTTCCAATATTCCGAGGGCCGATGACGTTGCCAGATTGAAGACGTCCTTCAACGTCTTGGAGAGCCTACGAATATTGAGGACTCGGCAATGGCGACTCCTCGATATCCAATATTTGATCACTCTCATTGTCATCCTCTTTAGTCTCACAATCACGCCCTCGGCGCCGCTGATCAAGACCGGGGCCCTCGCCCTATATACAATTCTTCTCCTCATGCCCGTCACCCAACAATTCTTCCTCCCATCGCTGCCAATATGGACCTATCTCCTATTTTTCTTTTCAAGCCGGTAAGTTTGCACCGTGTTCTACCTCTGCTGTTTGTTCGCCGTCCTTGCAGAAAGAAAGAAAAAAAGTTACTTTTCTGTGTCTTGCTTTGCGGGACATCCCGGCCGTCGCCGTTGCCCAGTCCGTCTACGTGGGATCGAAGACCACTGACAAAGAGCAACGGGCAGATTCATCCCCACCGAATACCGACCTCATATCTGGGTAAAAGTGCTCCCTGCGCTAGAGAACGTTCTTTACGGTGCAAACCTCTCCAACATTCTCTCCGCCCACACCCACTGGGTTCTCGACTTATTGGCCTGGCTCCCGTATGGCCTCGGCCACTTTGCGCTTCCCGCTGTCTGTAGCGCCTTAATATTTCTCTTCGCCGCACCAGGCTCGACCCCGGCCTTTGCTAAGGCCTTTGGTTACATGTCCATCCTAGGCGTGGCGCTCCAGCTGATACTACCATGCACCCCGCCGTGGTACGAGAAGTTGCACGGCCTAGAGCCGGCACACTACGGCATGCAGGGCTCGCCAGCGGGTCTGGCGCGCGTGGATGCACTGCTGGGCTTCGACATGTATACCACGAGTTTCACGACCGCGCCAGTGCCATTTGGCGCCTTCCCGAGCCTGCACTCGGCAGATGCGACGCTGGAGGCCCTTTTCATGCAGTACTTTTTCCCGCGCTTGCGTCCTCTGTTCATCTTCTACGTCGGCTGGGTATGGTGGGCGACCATGTACCTGAACCACCACTACGCCGTGGATCTGGTCGGCGGAAGCTTGATCGCAGCAATGACGTACTATATCACCCGGTCGAGATGGCTCCCACGCGTACAGCCGGACAAGACCACCAGGTGGGAGCACGAGTACGTCGAGTACGGCGATCGACCCCGAGGCAGGGATGAGGAGTCTGGGTACCACTTCGGTTACGGGTACGGGCTTGGCTTGCTGGAACGCTCGGGTCTCAGCGACAGCGACGAATGGACGATCGGCAGCACCTCGAGCTTCGATTCGATGAGCCGCGGGGAGACCAGTGGTAGCGCCAGCAGCACCCCTGGTTGCATCAGTCCCGCCACCCCTAATGACGATTTCCGCCAGGAGCTGTTTGGTATCACGCCGACAGGGGACGGGTGGGAAGGTGACCGTCTCGTGAGGGAGAGCGAGTTGGTCGACGTTGTGGTAATGCGGTGAATTATAAATTAATAAGGGTCGAGAACCCCCACCTGAACGTCCATCGACGAGTTGAGGGAATGGAATTCTCCGCCCCGTGTCGTCGGCTCGATTGCTGGGGATCCAATCGAGTCGTATTCGACGACGACGACAACGACGAGGGTGTTTGGCATCGAGCATCCGGGCCTTGTTCCCGGGGCTCACCCACACTCGGCCGTGTCTTTGGCATCTCTCACACTCGCTTAGTTGGGATGATTAAGAGAAGGGTTTTGGTTTAATGTGTAATACGATGGAGGAAACGAGCACACGAACGGCAGCCGCCGTCCCGCCCGATTCCCGCCACGAGAACTCGACCACACCCTCTCCCAAATTCCGCCTCCTACCAACATCATCCCATAATCCCGGGGTGTATCGCCGCAGGTATAAAACCTGTGCGACTTAATAGGGGATTTCAACATTCGCTCAGTAACCGGACTGGCCTGATCGGACGTTAGCGGACCCGCACCACCCCGCGGGGCCGCTCCCTGATTCTGTGTACAACCAACCAGGCATGAAGCAGATGGGGCAGCAACATTTACCTTTTTTTCCTTTCAATGGCATGGCGAGCATACCGGAGCGTTCGCTAAAGACATATTGGGCATTGGCGTGGTGTGTGGCCTTGACACTAAAGAGGAGAGGGACCCTAGGGGGCTAAACGGGGTCGTCTCGGTATATACCTAATAAGGGGCAGGCGTGCAAGTAGAAATAGAAAATAACGGTATGCAAACCACGCCACCCGAAGCTTGAGCCGTAGAGACTGCCACGCCCTGCGTATGTTATATGACTGTGAACCGGTGCGTAACTGGCCCTTCTCTTCCTCGTATATGAGAGAAACACGATCGCAGGGGAGCATCCGTTCCCGATAACGACGAGAGCTCGAACGTATTCACAAACAACGTAGTGCGGTCACTAGATTGCTTGTCGTTGGTAAACATAGGGAAGTAATAATTCTGATGTCGCCAGCCTTTTAGATGCCGATTGAGTTGTATACCTAGAGCCACAAGAAGACTACGACAGTTGCCCATTCCGGAATCCATTTACCCAAACAGTCTCGTTGTATGCATGGTTGAGGTTCGGGGCGAAATCTACCAATGCAAGGTATAGAATCTATCTATCCACTACACCCTGGACGTGGGAGAGACCCAACTCCATGTGGTGGTAGTAATGGTGGCGGTTTCCGGCTTTGGGGACTCCTGCCAATGCAATTGAATGCAATGCATCAACGCCGGAACCACGAAACATTATTACATCTGATAACACTGCAGACGACCCTTCAAATCTAGGTCGGCCGGTCAACTGAGGCGACGAAGGCACCGTTCATGTTCCTCGAGGGAGGACCCTCCAAGAGCCTACCATCTACCGGCGCATCGGTTACATGGCGGAGCCACAAATTGCTCCAAGAGAGGGGCAAAAAAAAGCATCAATGGTGCTTCCTGCTCGAGCCGTGCTTCCGCCGAATAAGGGGAGAGGACAGGAGGTATGGGGGGTCTTTCTAAGGCCGCCGCTGTACGTGAGGAACGGGGGGCGTGACTGGTGTGACTTTGGGAGTGGGTTTACCGCCATCCTTGTCCTTGCCCTTCACTTTGCGATCGGCCTTGTGCGCTTTCGGTGTCTCTTTGGTAGGCGAGGATCGAGTAGGCGAGGATCGTGGATCAGACATCGACTGAGACATGCGCTGGAAGTTTGGAGGGAGGGGGACCACCGATTCCTTCCGGCCCGAATTCGTCACGGATGCTCCGTTCATCGTGGGAACTCGCGGTGGCAAGATTGGCGTCACCCTGCCGACCTTGGAAGCGCTGACGGGTTCGATCAGATCGATCCGCGCCTTCTTCGGCTTCTTGCTCGACCCCGTAACATCTGCCGGCTGGCTTGAAGGCGGCGCGCTGTCGGACGTGTGCTTTCTCTTCTTTTTCTCGGGCTTGGGTGTCTCCACCAACACCGGTCCCTTGGGCTTCCTGGCACTCTGCTGCGATGATGGCAGGGCAGGAGCCTGACTCATCTCAACGTCCTCATCGTTCTCGGATGCTGTATGATCTCCATTCTTGCCCACTGACCCGTTGGAGACCCCGATGGGATGATATCGGGATTTGAGGCCGGCCGGCTGGGGTCGTGCCGGTCTGCTCGTAGTGGTGTGCGACTGAGAAAACGTGGTAGAGCTCTCATTGCCGTGCGAAAACTGGGTAATACGCTTAAGATGCACAGTTTGGTCCAGAGGCCGGTTCACTACAGTACCAAGTCAGCGGCAGCCCCGCAGGGGGTCAGTCCGGGGAGGGGGGAACACTCACGCATGCCGTATTTATCACCCGCTTTGTTTGGAATGAGGAGTTTTATGGATCGGGTGGTCGAAGCATCCTCGAAGGCGACGCCGTAGTCATCGCCGTTGTGAGAAAGGATCGAAAGTCCCTTTTGGGCCCTTTCCAGCGGGATCTCCAGTTTCTCCACAACTTCAATGGGTATCGAGGCTGGCGCGGTAAAGTACCAGACTTGCTTGCCTTGCATCTGAGCCTGGGAAAAGACTTGCGCAACGTCTGATGCGTCCACATTCTCTTGAGCCTTTCGGAGATGGAAATCATTTGCAATAATTTCGGCGACAGGAGCACTAGGAGAGATGTTAATGGACAGAGGTAAAACGAATAAATGGACAGAGGTAAAACGAATAGAGGCACGGAAAGAAAGGAAACTTACCCAGACCCATCATTCCTCATATCAATTGCCATGGACTCATCCGCCTCCTCATCTGACCCATCTTCCGAGCTGGAGGTGCTGCTCTGAGACTCGGAAGCAGAGCTATCGGAATCGCTCGACTCGGCACCTTCGGCCTCGGCCTTTTTGGCAGTAGACTCGTCTGTACTGCTCTCCTCTTCCGAAGTGGAATCCTCGGATTCGCTTGTCTTCACCTTGCGTTGGGTCTTCTCTTTCTTGGTTTTCGCGCCCCTCTTCTTGTTAGATGGCTCCTCTGCTTCGCTCTCGGAGCCTGAGCTCCCGGACTCGCTTGACGAAGACGTCGTGCTTGGGCTCTTCTTAACAGTCTTCTTGGCCTTCGCCTGGCCGCCGTCGCTCTCGCTGCCTGATGATTCGGATTCGGATTCGGATTCCGTCTTCAGTCTTGCCCCACCACCCTCCTTCGTCTTCTTGGACTTGCCAGCTGTCGTCGCCACTTCAGATTCAGAGTCGGAGCTTGAATCTGAGCTGGAGCCGGACTCGGATTCCGCGTCTGAGACACGTTCGTCATCGGAGGTCGGTTCCTTCTTGACTGCTGCTCCTGCGGACTTCTTATCGGAAGCAACGCTTTCGGCCGTCGACTTCGCCTTCGCCTTGGTGGTCGGCAATACAGCGGCGCCGCTGCTGGCTTGCTTCGCCTTGCTCTTAGGCGCTGAGGATCTTGACGCGATCATTTGTAGCAGGAAGTCCTGGTCACCAGCTTGCGAGCCATGGTCGCTGCTAGCACTCGAGCTGTCGCTCTCCTCGTCGTCAAGGCTGGCCTTTTTGTGCTTTTTGGTAGAGGATTTTATCGGGCGAGAGCGCGGATTTGCATCACGACGGGCAAGCCGGGCAGATTGAGTGGCATGCTCCGAGAGCGAGCCGATAGGCGCCTTTGGCCCCGCCATTGGAAAGAGAGTTGCAAAACCAAATCGGCTGGGAGTGTCTAAAGTAGTAAACCGGCAACGGCTGGCAAATGTAGGCGGAGTCGCGCGTCGCGAAGAGGTTGACGCGGGGAATTTTTTTTGACAAGCTTCAGATGAAATTGAGATAAGGCGGCCAGGGTTACCCAGAAAATGGAAGGCTGGATGAGATTGGGGGATTTGATTGGATGGCTGGTGCCCTGTACGGATAAACAGATAACCCCTTTAGGGATAGGTTTGTGGAGGTACCCACCACCCAGCCTTTAGTGGGTCCCTCTTTCGGATTTACGCATATTTACTGCAAGAAAATTGAAGCACGAGGTAGATGATAAGGGTAGCCATATGTCGACTGTAAGATCATTCTAAGGGGTCTTTCTGATGAGGGCAATTGCGGCATAGAATAGAGCCTCTATCCCTTTCGGGGTTGCCATTTGAACCACAATGGACCCGAACAAAAGAAGGAAGCTTGACCCACAAGCTGGCAAAGGGCCGTGTGAGTGAAGACGCCCGCCGTTTTGCTGAGGATACCGCTCATCGACCTCTTAGTGATGAGCGCTTTTGCAGCCAGAAAGAGCTTATGGGGAGCCCAGATCGACTCTTCTGCCGTCGAGGCGCCCAGACAAAAACAGGAGAACAATTCGATCAACCAAGAAATTAGCTCAAGGAGGCCATCCCCTGGCCCACAGGAGTCTGTACAAGTTGCAGAAGCAGACACAAAATCCTCGTCGAGAGCTCCCGTCAGCAATTCAAATGGGAGAGAATCCCCGGGCCAAACCTCAAGTGCCTCCGTACCTACCACCCCTTCGACAGCCCAGTTGCAAATGTATGTGCCAACCGCGTATAGCCAGACCGCCAACTTCTAACTCGTCAAACTACCAGCAGCGACGCATCACAGCGAACTATCCTTCAGTTCTCATCGTTCAAACCTAATAGGAAGAACTACCAACAGAAATTGGATGGTCGTACTATCCTCAAACTAGCTGACGGAGAGGTAAGTCTAATGTTGCCTTTGATGATATGCGACCCGTCACCTCTCTAACTGGCGAAGCGCATTGTGATACTCGGCAGTTATGGCCTTGGGATCTTAGAAGGCGAAGTCACCATATTAGGGGCTACAATACGGGCAGGTGACCCAGTCCAATGGATACATGCCTCGCACTGTCATGCACTTCCCGTTCTCCGAACGACGAAGGATACAACCGTCGAATTGCGGTCTCATCCAGCCGCCAGTGATCTGCGGGCGTTGGAGAGGCTCTCTTTAATGTTCGGAAAGTTGTGGAACGAGACCTCTCAGCCTGGTCCCGGGTCGGGTTCAAATAAACAATACAACAGTACCTTCCAGATTGTCAGCTGTTTCCCCCCTACTTCTCGGCACCACTTTAGGCCGCTAACCTCGAAGCAGGTCTATACTTCAGAAGATGGTCCTAAGAGAGCCATTCTGCAGGATCTGGTGTCACCAGCCGAATGGAATAAGAAGATTGCGGAACTGGCTGGTGGCAAGCCACCGGGGCCGCCTGTCTTATTTATATGCGGCCCTAAATCCTCGGGCAAATCTACCTTTGGAAAGCTGTTGACAAACCGCCTTGTAACGAACCAAGCCTCCTCTCGAAAGCGGGCATGGCAAGGTGTCGCTGTGCTTGATCTTGACCCGGGACAACCCGAATACTCGGCACCAGGTGTTGTCTCCCTCGTTCATGTCACCAAGCCCAATCTTGCACCCCCTTTCTGTCATCCCTGTCCCGACCCTGGCAATAGAATAGTTCGATCACACGCCATTGCCTCCGTCACTCCGGCGTTAGATCCCGAGCACTACCTTGAGTGTGCTCTAGATCTCTTTGGCCACTATCGAGATAAATTGGGCACCAAAAGCCCCTTGATTGTCAATACTCCCGGCTGGATCCAAGGGACAGGACTTGATATGCTCCTGGCGCTGGTCGAGAAGATCCGCCCTAGCGAAGTCATCTACATGTCTCAAGAAGGCCCAGAAGAGACGGTTGATGGCCTCAGGGCGGCATGTCGACAGGTTCCGTTGTCTGCCTTGCCTTCTCAGGCAAGCGAGTACGCCTCGAGGACCGCTTTGCACCTTCGGGCAATGCAGGCCATGTCGTACTTCCACTCGGACAAACCTTCCCTACAATCTCACCACTCGCGCTGGGATCCCAGGCCCCTAGCAGATATGCCGCCTTGGAAAGTCAGGTTCAGGGGGCCAAGCCGGGGCTTCCTTGGCCTTCTCTGCTACGACTATCAGCCGCCCCCGAACCTGCTCGTGGAGGCCATCAATGGAATGATCGTAGGCCTCGCAGCCATCGAGCAAAACGCAGCATTGAGGGATTTGCTCGCGGGCGACTCGTCGGGCGAAAGGCCGACCCTGGGCTCCCGTTTCGGCATGGAATTGGGTGACAAGACGCCCGCCGAGCACGACGAAGGGGATTTGGTCCCGCGGACACCTGAAGGGATTCCATTTATCCCGAACCCCAGAGGCCGGACCTTGAATCCTAGGTATTCAAGGCTGCTCGGCCTGGCACTCATCCGTGGCATCGATGTTCGACGGGGGGAGCTTCACATCCTGACTCCCTTGTTAGAGAATATTATCACCGACCTTGCAAGGGACGGGAAGAAGCTCGTCCTGGTAGCTGGCAAATTTGACACCCCGAGCTGGGCGTACACTGAAGATCTGTATAAGCGTTCCTACGGCAGCAATGTGGCGGGAAATGCAGCCCAGGGAGCAGTGGAGGTGACGGACGAGGACACGGACGATGACTCGTCTCAGGGTGGCGCCGAGGAGAGCGTGGGGGCTACAAGGGACTACGCGGAGAGCCCATGGGTCGAGTTGCTTCACGGAAACCAGAAGCGGACCGTTGGATCCCGTGTGTGGAGGGTTAGGAGAGACCTAGGGAGGGGGGTTTAACGGACCATGAGCTCCTCAGCGCCCGAGAGGACGACTGCCGTGTCAGTTCGGTAGAATGCTCGGAAATATATGGGGAAGACTCTTGCGGCTAAGGAATCCCGTTGCTGGGCCGCCGTGATGAATTTGGCCAACCGAATAGACTTCAATGGAGCCTCTTGCAGGTCAGAGCTGGTGTTTGTCACGCTTACTCATTATCCCCGACTGAGGAATCAGCATCTCCAAATACGTAACTACCCCGCAGCGCAGCCCCTCTTCACGTCCCTCTTGCCCCGGACGGAGTTGCCGTGGACCTGGGCCGGTGAGACGTTGGTGGGAGCGGATCGCGATGTTAGATCATGATCACCGATCAAGCTAGTCCCTTTTGTTCAAAACTCAGGCTTATCTCCGACAAACATCATCGTCTACTGCGGTAGACACGAGTGGACTTCAGTAAATTTACTAATAATAAGTAATTGTACTTGTACCTGTTAGTTTAGTTTATATGCGTGCCTACCTACCTATCTATATATAATATATATATATAGGTATTTATTATCTTCCACCGTATCGTTCTTTTCCGCCGTAACCCCAACCGTCCACAGTTCTAAGCAGTTGAAGTATTAAGCATGGTTGCTGTCAGCGATATCCCAACGTCGAAGGTCGATGTCCTCATCATTGGAGCTGGCCCGGCTGGGCTGATGATGGCCCTCTGGATGGCCCGACTGGGGATCAAGACGCGCATTGTGGACAAGCGGACGGCCAAGGTATTTTCAGGGCAGGCGGATGGGTAAGTTGATTATTAGCAGTAACGGCTCCGGTATATCAAACCAGTTACTTACCATTTCCAAGATTCCAATCGCGGACTCTCGAGATCCTGGACAGCTTCGGAATCGGAGAGAGGGTATGGAAGGAGGGGAACCACATGATCGGTATGCCCATGCCCCCTACTTCGATGCCCCCTTCCTCCCCCCTCAAAAGACCCCCAGCTCCGAATTAGTACTAACGCACCCAACAGAGGTTTGCATCTGGAACCCGGATTCGGACGGCCAGATAAAGCGGGACTCGCGCGTCGCCGACGTCATCCCGGGCCTGTCGCGTTTCAGCCAGGTCGTCCTCCACCAGGGCCGCATGGAGCGGTTCTTCCTAGACGCCATCCAGGCCTCGTACGCGCCGCCGCCGCCCCCCTCGGCGGACTCGCCGGCTGGCTCGGCCGAGGAGGAGCAGCCCGCGCCCATCCGTGTGGAGCGGTGCGTCGTCCCCACATCGATCACCGTCGACCAAGATAACGCCGGCGACGACGACGACGACGACGACGCGCATCCCGTCGCTGTCACGCTGCGGCACCTGTCGGAGGAGGAGGCCACGCCGACGCAGAGGCTGAGCAACCTCAGCGACGGTCTGTTCCGCAGCAACCTGGCGGAGGACGACCTCGACGATATCTTGAGCAGAACCGCCAAGCGGGAGCATCAGGAGGAAGTCGTCAGGTGCAAGTTCGTGGTCGGCTGTGATGGAGCGCACAGCTGGACTCGGAAGGCCTTGGGCAAGGAGTTCGAAATGGTGGGAGAGATGACCGACTTTATTTGGTGAGCTGATTGGCCGCCGGCCTTGACCTTACGGGCTTCTGCTGACGGTGGTGATGCCGATAGGGGTGTGCTGGATATCGTGCCCATCACGGATTTCCGTAAGACAGTGCTGTCGTGCTCATGGTGGTTAAAGCTAACTTTCAGCAGCCGACATAAGAAAGCGGGTGCTCATCCATAGTGCATCATCGGGAAGCATGATGGTCATACCGCGGGAGAACAAGCTGGTCCGGCTGTACATCCAATTGACTGAAGTGTCTCCAGGTGGTGGCCGGGTAGATCGCTCCAAGATCAAGCCAGACATGATCCTGAAAGCCGCGCAGAAGATCCTCAGCCCCTATAAGCTGGAATACCACTACTGCGACTGGTGGACTGCCTACCAGATCGGACAGCGAGTAGGTCCGCATTTCAGTAAGCTGGACCGCGTGTTCTTAGCAGGCGATGCAGTCCATACGCACTCGCCAAAAGCCGGCCAAGGGATGAACACGTCAATGCAGGACACGTACAATCTCGGCTGGAAGATTGGGCTCGTCTGCAAGAAGATACTGAAGCGGGAGGTGCTGGCAACCTACCGGTTCGAGCGTCAGATGGTAGCCAAGCAGCTCATAGCCTTTGACCAGAAGTTCTCTGCGCTGTTCTCCGGCCGGCCGAAGAGGGATATCCTGGACGAGACAGGTGTCTCTGCGGCCGATTTTGCAAATGCCTTCGAGATGAGCCATATGGCAAGTGTCCACCGACACTGATTCTTTTCGAACTCGCACTAACTTGGCCTGGGGAATAGTTCACGACGGGGATTGGGATAAATTACCAGGCCGATCTCCTCGTCGCCAAGCCTCCCGGCAGCAGCTTCGACGAAGGCATGCCCATTGTCGAGATGAGCGAGCAAGCAACCGCAAGTCCGGCGCAGAGCACGCTGTCCCTGGCCGCGAACTGCAAGCCGGGCACGCGCTTCGCCTCCCACCAGGTCCTCAGCCAGGCTGATGCGCGGCCGTGGCAGCTTCACCACATGATGCCTTCCGATGGGCGGTTCCGGATCGTGGTGTTTGCGGGGAATATCGGGGACGCCGCGCAACTGGCAAAGGTAAACGAGCTGGGAGCCTGGCTTGGCTCGGAGCTGCTGCCAAAGTACCCGACCATGGCATTATCCGTCGGGTCTAACCCTCACGGGGCCATCGCAAAGTTCCGCACGGAGCGGCAGCCGAGCATTATCGATGTGCTGCTGGTGCATTCGGCTCCGCGCGAGGATGTTGACATGTTGAAGGACCTGCACGAGACCTATCATCCGTTCGACCTCAAGTTGGGCTGGGAGTATGGCAAGGTGTTTGCCGACGGTCCAAGCTATCACGAGGGTGACGGCGAGGCATATCGGAAGTATGGTGTTGACAAGCAGCACGGCGCGGTCGTCGTTGTCCGACCGGATGGATATACTGGCCTAGTAACCCAGATAGGGGCTGAGGGATGGAAGGAGACCGAGAAGTGGTTTGGATCAGTCCTGCGGCAGTCTTGAGTCTCTTGACTTCTAGCCTGGGTTTGGGAATCCTAGAGAAAGCAGGACGGCGATAGGAGGCTCAACGACGCCTGTGCTCAGGGAACTAGTGGGGAATTCACAGCAGCTAGGTACCACTAGGAATGAACGCTGGTTTCCCCAATATCCGAACGGACTAAGAGCGGGAGGGGGATATATAAGCGAGGCGCGGCCCCATCCGGACTCCGTGAAGATGCGTACATGATTGGATGGTGAGAGCCGCGGCTGGAGCCCTCTATTTCCACCAAACTAACAGACATCTGTCCCCGCTCCTGATCATCCTTTCTCACTCAACATAACAGAGCTATCAACCGAAAGCATCCGTATGCCAGCCACCAACAACCCAAAGTCCAAATATGGAATCGCATGCGGATGCTGAGCACTGACTGTTCGGGCAGGGAAAATTGGGTGCGCGTGTTCGTTGCTCCCCAACCTCGAACCTTGTTGGCACACGCGTCGCATCGATGAGGTCGCGATGCATCAATCAATCAACTCGCACCATGATGATCACTTGACCATCTTGGTCTCATAGAAGAGGAGGGTTTGGCGTGTGCGCATCGTGCAGCCGAGACATCATCAGTACGGTTAAACGTCGGGAGGTCGTCATTTTTGGGTGACGGGATCGTCGATTGCTTGTGGCGTTGTGCTGCAGTCGCAACGACACAACTCTCCGCTCTTGTGCGTCTCCAGGTGCTCGAGAATTTTGTTAAGCTTATCCTGCATGCCATCGGGTTGATTTCCCGTTGCCGTGATGGCGACGGGGACTGCAGAGAGGGGCATGGTCAGGATCTGGATCTTTGCCCGCATCGCTTGCTCTGCGTCCGCCACTCTCTCCAAGGCAGTTGCTGTGGATACAGCAACTCTAGACCCGACATGGTCATGGTTGTACGCTTCCGCGCGCTCATATGAAGCACGCGAGTCGCTGACTGCCGACGCACCCTCATTCTCGGCGCTGCAACACCCGGCATTAGCTGACTGACCGTCGAACGAGTCGAAGCTCAATAGCGAGGAACGGGGAGAGAAGGAGCGCTGGACGAGAAACACAGTGGAAGGATTGCGCACCTCTTTACCGACCCTTGTTGGGCCGTCGTGGAACAGGCCGGCGCCATGGATGCTGCAACACAGATTCGGAGGTCGGATCAGGGCAATAAACCCAGTTGGAAGCTCTCCCCGTCCGCGGCTTGGTGAACGGGTCACCCGATGCTTTTCAGCTATCTATACTACGCAAGGGGCTGGCGGTGTTGCGAGTTTGGGATGAGCTCTGAAGGAAAGGCGAGCAGGTAGGTCCTAAGGAGGGTGCTGCCAGTAGGTTCGGCAATGGTAGCCGCTTCCAAGTAGTTCTCCTGTAGAATCCGAGTATTTAAGAAAGTAATCAATGTTTCTGTGACCATCTCCGCCGGGCGCGTTACTGTAGGAGCTTGCGATGGCTAGAGAACAAGCGGAGAAGGTGGGAGGAGAGGGTGAAAGTTATATGGAAAGTAGGGTGCGAGCATATATGGAGGCACCTAATCGTTCTCCAATCAGAACTGGCGTCTCCAGTCCTCCAGCCAGAACTGGACTCTCCAGCCAGAACTGAACTCTCCAGCCAGAACTGAACTCTCCAGCCAGAACTGGACGCCACTTACCCTGCCTAGGTACCTACCCACCCGTATTAATTCCATCCTGGATAGAGCAGGCTACATAGGGTGGGTCTGCACTCGAAAACTTACTCGGGTTCGAGAATTGTGATTCGAGAATTGACGACGGGAGCTACCTACTTGTATATGGCTACCTAGGTACCTGTAGGTATGTCTGGCACAAGCCCCCCCCCAGTTTAAGTCATTCCTGTCCATTGGGCAGAGAAGGCAGTGCTGCCAATGATGCTCAGCCTGCAGCCCAGTCTGAAAGAGGAGAAAAAAAGAGCACGGCACTCGGAAAACCTTTTTCTAGGCCTTCAATTTAAGAAACAACGCAGTCAACGGGGCAACAACAATTCTACCCCGCCGGCCCCCATCGCCTTGTCGCATTACTGTAGCATAGACAACCGCTGAGTCTGACGCAAGATTTGGATTGCCACCTTGCCACTGCTAGGAACGTAGAGAGAAAAAATTGCAGCAAAGAAAGGAAAAGAGAAGGGGGTTGAAGATGCGAAGATGCGAAGATGCGAAGATGCGAAGATGCGAAGATGCGAAGATGCGAAGATGCGAAGATGCGAAGATGCGAAGATGCAAGATGAGATAAGATAATATACATATATAAATAAGCAAACACTCCAAAGACAGATCCCGGCTTCCCGAACTTTAAACTGGATCCATTGTTTGTTTAAGGTTCCTCCAAGTACGCAATAATTGTATTGGCCCGAGCGGTTAATCCCAGTAAGGCTGACACCTAGGTAGGTACATACAATACAGTACCTAAGGTTGTAGGTACCTACCTATGGGGCGAGTCGCATGCGTACTGTGGTTCTGTCACCTGTGTGCATGCATACCACAGCTGTACTGGCCCTGCAGTAGGTACCTAGGTACCTGGTACTGTCAGCGATCACCCAGCATTTGGTTTAACGTCTTTTGTTACTCTCCGGCTCAGGATGTAAGTGCCCAGGTGGCAACGGTCGGCGACAATTCTCTGGACACAACAGCATATCGGTCTATCAGTGGCTAGGGGCGCCCACGATAGTATCAATAAAAATACGCGGAATAAGGGGAATTCTGCTGTGGGAAGGTAAGTAAAAGGAACAGAGAGGGCAGCCTCTGGCAGTCTAGTCAGGTGGCAGATACTGCCAAGGCGGTGTAAATTTGAACACCCTGGATCGAGATCTTTAACTCTTTGGCGGGGTAGCGACAACCCCTGAACAGTTGCTTCTTGAGGCTTAACCTGCAAGACCTGTACCAGGGTCTGACACTCACAGGTAACGAAGTACCTACTCACTCACTCACTCTCAAGAAAACAAAATCAATCGCAAAAGAATGGAGACAAACAACAGTCACCATGCTGCATCCTCGTCATGGCATCTGGTAGCGGCTCCAACTGTCAATCCTCATCAACGCCGTCGCTGCGGGGCGCATCCCCAACAGCAAAATCGTCCGCCTCCTGGTCAACTGTGCAAAAGCATGGGCCACAACCCGGGCAGACCAGGCAGGTATCCCGTGGGAGTATTTCAACTTAATTAGCAACGTGTTTCTGGTCAAGGGGGAGAAAGATGAGAGAAAAGTCAGGGAGGAGCTGGCGCAGCTAGAGGAGAGGATACATTCGCATGAGCATGAGCTGATCGTGAGGCGACAATAAAAGGTGGTGGGGGAGATATTGGAGGCAAGGAGGGGGAAGGTAGAAGCCATGGAAGGTGAAGCCAAGGGGCAGGCTCATAGGCGCACAGACACGTCGTTTAGCAGGCACTGAAAAAAATACCCCGCAGTATGCCCAAGGCCTGGTTTTTACCTGAAGATCACATGACCAGGCCAATGAGTCAGCCAGGCCTACACTAGATGATGGCCCACCCCCACCAAGATATGGAAATTCGAACTTGGAAGTCCCGCGATATCTTCACGCGAACGACTACCTGAACAGAGAATGTAAGTGATGGTGATATACCACCTGTTTCGTTATGCTAACTTCTCTTCTACCATACTAGCACAAATATGGCAGGCGTCGAGAGCACTAGCACCCTGGTGGTGCTTCCTGGGAAGCCAGAGCAGAGCGAGGCGACCATGAAACTCCAAAATGTAGCGTATTGCGTCCTCATTGTCATATTATTCGCGGCTAACAGACGTATCAGACGGAGAAGCGCGATTTCCTGATTGGGGTGCGTCGAATTCCCGAATTCCCCGAGTAACGAGCAGATCACAGCGACTAAGACCTACCAGTTCGAGAAGCAATACCAGCAAGAATGGGCCGAATCCGGCATCTTCACCCCTGATGCCCCGTCTGCAGACGATGGAGCCGACTCGCCCAAGTTCTACGGAACTATGGCCTACCCATATATGAACGGCACTCTCCACGCCGGACATGCGTTTACAGCTTCGAAGATCGGTCAGTCCATATCCTCGGTACATTGAGATATGTGGAAGTCGACCGAGCTAACAAAGCCAACCAGAGTTCGGAACGGGGTTTGCGAGAATGCAGGGCAGGCGCGCGTTGTTCCCCCAGGGTTTCCATTGCAGTGGAATGCCCATCAAAGCCGCCGCCGACAAGTTGGTCCGAGAAATTGAACTGTTCGGCGAGAATTTCGAGCGCTACTCGGAAGAGGACGAAGACCTTGAAGCTGATAGCACTAATGCGGCCCCCGGGAATCCGGAGGCAAAGACCGATCTCAGCAAGTTTGCGGGCTCCAAGAGCAAGGTTGCAGCCAAGTCTGGTCAAGTGAAATATCAGTTTCAAGTACAGTTCCCCTTTCTATTCCAATATCGCGCAGCAATGTGCTTACCAGGACCGCGGCTAGATCCTGTTATCTCTGGGTCTGCCCATCACGGAGATCAAGAAGTTCGCCGATCCCACATACTGGATCACTTACTTCCCTGCCGTGTGCAAATCCGGTACGTTTGGATCGCCGAATGCAGTGCAAGCATGTGACTGACCACACCCCTAAGACCTCACTTCCTTTGGCTGCCGGATTGACTGGCGCAGATCCATGGTCACAACTGATATGAACCCGTTCTACGACTCATTCGTTCGCTGGCAAATGACTCGCCTGAAGGAGCTTGGAAAGATCAAGTTCGGCAAGCGCTACACGGTGTACAGGTGAGACAATCCATGCATCATCGAATCGGTCCAGGTTTCGATAGTAAACAAGACTGACCCAAGACAGTCCCAAGGACGGCCAAGCTTGCTTGGACCATGACCGCAGCGCCGGTGAAGGTGTGACAGTCCAGGGATATGTCTGCATCAAGCTGCAGACGCTCGAGTGGTCCGCGCGTGCCAAGGAGATCATTGGCGACAAGCTTCCTCCCAGTGCTCGTGTCTATTTTGTCCCCGCGACTTTGCGCCCGGAGACCATGTATGGTCAGACCTGCTGCTTCGTGGGACCCGAGTGAGTTGCTGCTCCGGTAGCCTTCGACGATATACCTCGTTCTCTGACCCCATGTTTGTCGACAGGGTCGAATATGGCATCTTTGAAGCATCAGCAGCCAAGAACGAATACTACGTTGCGACAAAACATGCTGCTCGTGTGAGTCAAGTTCTGCTTGCTGACTTGTATGGTGCCCTCTTTACTGACGCTCTGTATGTCAGAACATGTCTTACCAGAACGTCGGACCGGAATGGGGTGTGCTGCCAAAGGTCGTCGATATCTTGGGTTCTGATCTCATCGGTACCCTCGTTCAAGCACCTCTCTCGGTTCATCGTGACGGTGTCAGGGTTCTCCCAATGGATAGCCTGAAACCTACCAAGGGAACTGGGGTTGTCACCTGTGTCCCCTCTGATAGCCCCGACGACTATGCGACCACGCTGGATCTGGCCAAGAAGCCCGACTTTTATGGCATCCAGAAGGAGTGGGCAGAGAAGGAAATACTCCCGATCATAAGGACTCCAAAAGGCGACCTGATCGCCAAGACTCTCTATGAAGAGTTGCGGATCAATTCTCCAAATGATACGAAACAACTCGCCGACGCCAAGGAGATTGCATACAAGAATGGCTTCTACCAGGGCACTATGATCTACGGTCCTTACTCGGGGAAGTCGGTCCAAGAAGCGAGATCTCTCGTCGAGAAAGACCTTCTCGAACAGGATCTTGCCTTCAAATATGCCGAGCCGGATGGTCTGGTCATCAGCCGATCTGGGGATACCTGCGTTGCGGCGTATCTCGATCAGTGGTACTTCAACTACGGCACCTCGGCAAATGGCGGCGACGGCGAGTGGTGTGGTCAGGTCTTGGACTACCTCAAGAACGAGATGAACTGCTATTATCCCGAGGCCGAGCATGCATTTGAGCAGGCCATCAACTGGCTCTCGCAGTGGGCATGTAGCCGCTCCTTCGGACTGGGCACAAGACTGCCCTGGGATTCGTCGCAGCTTGTCGAGAGCTTGTCAGATAGTACGGTTTACATGGCCTACTATACTGTATGCCATTTGCTTCATGGCGACATTTTTGGGAAAACACCAGGCTTGTCAACGAAGCCCATCTCGCCCGAGCAAATGACGGACAATGTTTGGGATTACATCTTCTTCCGTACGGAGACGGTGGAGACCGACATTGCCACGGAAGACCTCACCGCCATGAGGAGGGAGTTTTCGTACTGGTATCCTATGGATATTCGTGTGTCGGGCAAGGTACATATATATCTCTCGTCTTTCCTCAGAATTCATCGCTGGCGTGGACAAACCTGCTAACTGACGGCGTTAGGACCTTATCAACAACCATCTCACCTTTGCACTGTACCACCATCTGGCTCTGTTTCCGAAGCGGTTCTGGCCTCGGGGATTCCGAGTCAATGGTCATTTGATGCTCAACAGCAAGAAGATGAGTAAGAGTGTTGGGAATTTCCTGACACTCCGCCAAGCGATTGAGAAGTTTGGCGCCGACGCAAGTAAGACATTGTTCTGAGCTTGAGCTTCATGTGGTGCACCCACTAACCACCTTGTGATATCGACAGCTCGGTTGGCCTTGGCTGAAGCAGGCGATGGCATTGAGGACGCCAACTTTGAAGAGTCCGTCGCCAACGCCTCCATTCTTCGCCTCTTCGAACTGAGAAAGTGGTCCAAGGAGGTGCTGGACGATACCTCTTCCCTTCGTAAAGGCGATCACACCTTCTTCGACAAGATCTTCGACAATGACCTGAACGCCCTCGTCCTCGAGACCCGGCAGCATTATGAAGGGTGAGTACTAGCTCCACGGCGATTGCCTACCCCCCCTCCACTTTCTGCCCAGTTATTGACTTGGTGAAGGACCATGTACAAGCTTGCAATGAAAACTGGTATGTCACCTCCACTTCTGGCCACCTCGCAACGCCGCCTGAGACGAGGACTAACGGATGTAGGCTTCTACGACCTGCAGTCAGCGAGGGACTGGTATCGAGAACAGTGCCGAGCTGCTGGCGTTGGTATGCATCACGACCTTGCTCGTCGCTTCGTCTATCTGCAAGCCCTGCTGGTCGCACCGATCGCACCCCACTGGGCCGAGGGCGTCTGGCGGCATCTTCTACACGAAGACTCTAGCATCCAGAACGCTCGCTACCCGGAGGTTCCCGTACCAGACGCCGGGCTGCAGGCTGTGCGTGACTAGTAAGTAGTATCTTCTCGTCGAAGGGCACACCGTATAGTTAGGGATTAACCCCGATACGTTGTGTAGTATCAAGGCAACGACCAGCGCAATAATCCAGTCAGAGGCCCGCCAGTTGAAGAAGAGACAGAAGGGCAAGCAATCCTCCTTCGACCCCAAGAAGAGCAAAAAGCTCAGCGTCTTCATCGCCACCACATTCCCCGCATGGCAACAGCGATATCGAGACGCTCTCCACAAGCAGCTTGACTCGACCGGCAATCTGGACTTGAAGGCTGCGGCAGCAGGTATCGACAAGGCCGAGATGAAGAGAGCCATGCCGTTCATGCAGGGATTGAAGAGCCGCCTCGACAGCGGTGAGAGCCCGGAGCGTGTGTTTGAGCGGGAGCTGCCCTTCGATGAGGCTCAGGTCCTCCGGGAGATGGTCCTCGGGCTGAAGGCCGTCATCAAGAAGCTGGACGCCGTTGAGATCATCCGCATCAACGAGAACGGAGCGGGCGAGGTCATCTTTGCGAGCGAACAGGAAGGCAGCTCTGCTCGGCGCGAGGGAGAGCAGGTATCGTCTGAGGGTATATCTGCGGATATCACGCCGGGGAAGCCCACCGTCATCTTTGTCAATATCGAGGAGTAAATCGGTATAGGGCCAAAAAAAGTTCCTGGCAATAGATAGGCATGGTTGAAGGTCGTTTAGACGAGGATGGGGGCAAACGGCGCTACCACATGCGTATACCTATCTACCTAGCTAGCTATGTAGTGGCTGTCGCTTTAGAAATAGAGCAAAGATGCTCGTGATCATGTGCATGAACGCTGTGCCCGCTTATGAAATGAACCACACAGAGAAAGCAAATATGAAGACACCTTGGTTGGGCTCCTTCGTGGTACCGAAAACTCGTGAAACTTGCCTCTTGTATTGTCCCACTTTTTTTTGATTTCTCTCTCTCTTCAGATAGGTGTATAGAGGCTCCCCGTTCAAGAGCCTGGCATGCATGCCTCTTATTGGTCAACGAAGGAGGGGAGGGCGACATGCAGAAGGTCTAAAATTTGGTCTGCTTCTCCTGGCTAAGTGAGTGCGGCTCACCTCCCAAAACGCACGAGCTTCTTCCAGGAGAATATAACGTCCTTGGATAACAGGATCCTCAGAAATGCCAGCACAGCTAGGTATTAACTACCTAGTCGGTCAGGGGGAAACTACCGGGTGTGACTAAAATATGGACAGGAATAGAGCTATGTACAAACTCCACACTACACCCGACCGACCCCTTGATTGTTTGGCCTGGATTACAGGCACTGCGAGTAGTAGTCGTTCGACACAGTGCACTTGAACGGCGAGGCGCAGACCTTGCAGCCCGTGTAGCCGATGCCGCCACACTGGGCCCACTGCGGCGCCGTGCAGCCGCCCGAGGGAGGAGCCGACGTCGTCGGCGCGGCAGACGTTGTTGTTGGCTTCGTCGTGGTGGAGAGGGTCGTGGGGGGCGCCTGGGTGGTGGTAGGGCCGGGGCCCGAGTTGCCGTTGCAGGTGAACAGGGCGGGACCTGGGATGGTGTACTTGCTCGAAGGCGTCATGGAGTAGATGTTGACCAGGATACCGGGATCGGTGGCCTGCGGGTGGGAACTGTTAGTCCATATTGCCACTTCGCAGGGGATCATGCACTGACCTTGTAGATGCCTGGGATGCTGTAGGTGGCGGGAGATGCGCTGCCTGTGCCACCAGAAATGTTGATTTGCGCACATTCCATCTATTGATTGTGTTAGCCGCACCGTTCTGCCTGTGAGCTGGGTTTAGGTTGCTAGATCTTGTGCCAAGATCAAGCAGATGCCCGCGATGACCTGCAAGCAAAACTTACGTAGAACTGAGCACCCTGGGACGAGCTAGCACCATGGAGGGCGATCATCTCAGCACGGAGAAGGTATTGGCCGTTCGGAATGCACTGGGGAATCGTAATGCTCTGGAAACCACCGTTGTTGATAACCTTGCTAGTGCCCCAGGCACCGTTGTTGTACCCATCCTCCTGAATCTTGAACCTGTTTCGGAACCAGTCAGCAAGCGCCACTCTCGAGTCAACAGTCGTCTGCTGGGAAATTAAGCCTCCATCTTACCATCCATTGCCGACTCCCGAGTTGGTCACGGCATTGTCAACCTTCTTCAGGTATGCAATGGTAGGTCCCAGATGGCTGGCGTCCATAACATCGTTAGGGCCGGAAGTAAGAGTATGTCTCCAGATGGCTCGGACAGTTGAGCCGGCCGAGACGTTGATGATCTTGTCAGACGGAGTCGTGGGGTTCGGGCCACCGTTGCAAACAATGTCGTTGGAATTGACGTCGACGATGGGTCCGTCGTAGCTTGGAGTGCGGATTCCATATCCAATAGGATTGGTGGTACCACCGGACTCGAGCTGGAGGAAGATGGTGTGGGCGGATACCGCCGAGGCAGCTGCCAGAATCGAGAAAGCCTTCATCTTTGGATATAAGACCTGGCGGAGTGTCGGTAGGTACTAGAATCAACGGGCTATGCGTGCAATACAGGTAGAGGCGTGGGTTGACAACAGAGAGGATGTGGATTTGGAACGAAGGTAGGGCAGTAAATATATATGTCTCCTAGAAGGACCAGGCGAAGGCTGCGCCGCGTAGCCGGGGCGAGCCCTTCTAGGTTCTCCAGCATTCCGTCAATTCCATGGCATTGCTCGAACGCGCAGCGTGATGTGGCCAGCCCGGGAAGCAATCCCAGGTAGAATGGTTGGGTAACTTGGGGTTTGAGCACTAGTCACAATAGTGAGGGTCAACCAGTGCTACGGCGGAGGGACATCGTCCGAGCTTGTAGATGGAGACCCGGTCCGGGAGGGGGGCATGATCCCCAAAACCGGGGACAGCCGCAGGCTTCCCGAAAGGGCAGAGTAATGAAGACGCAGTGGCGCACACTACATGCTGCAACCAACAGTCACAAGCGCCGAGCCACTAGGTTTCGACATCAGTCGTGTCTGGCGGCGTCAGAGCCACGCTGCCATGCTACCTTACCGTGCCAGAATCGGGGGACGGAAGGCCAGGCAGCGTGGCTCTGACGCCAAAATGCTCCCGGAACACGGGGCCACGGCCTTGGCTTCCGGAATCTGGCACGAATGCTCAACATGTGATCTTTTTCGAACTTGTGTATGAGTTTTTACTCGATCTGATGTCCTTGAGTTTATCTGGGATCGAGATACTCGCTGGCTGGTCTCGCATCTGCCAACGGTTTGGGCTTAGCGAGGTTTGCATGCAAGTAATGAACTGTAGCGTGGTATTCGAAAGGAAACGAATGTTGATGGACTGCTGCCAGTTAATTTACGTTAATAACCCCTGACCAACCACCAACCAGGTTAAAATTGCATCCCACATTCACGTGACTCTGTAACGTACCTTTGAGATTGTGGCATGACGACAAAACCCACCGTTCCCCACGATATCCCCGGTTTCCATTGCTCTTCAGCTCTGTCATAATATATATGTGCATGATATAATTTACCGTGTCTCCAACAGCCCCCAAATCTCTCTCCGCAGTATGCAAGCTGAACCCTGTCGCTTCAAAGTGAAATGTCCCGTTTGAGCTACGATCAAGTCGCGGAAGGCCTACAACTACCGGGACAACAACCAGGGACCGGGAAATGAAAGAAGGCTAACATAGATAGACAGTGATGATGCAGGGAATTTCTAGAAGTCAACTCCGACGCCGACCAGATCAATTGCTGCCTCGACTTCTTACCCGGCCCCCAATTTGGTGCATTGAAAACCAGTTCCTATCGTCGAGTCCGGCGTGGCGTCGCTAGTTGGCCGCTGCCTGAGCCGGGCCCGACTCCCCACCCTGACTTGGAACTCAAGTGGGATTTCCACCAGCCACAGCTCACTGCGTACACATTTTTGTTTTGTTTATAATTTTCGTACTTGGCTCCAGCGTCCCTAGAAAGACTCTTGTGAGGTAGCCCGTTGAGAAATATCATGCTTGGGCAGACACAGTACGCTTTCTAGTGGCTGCCCGGCTTAGAGCGAAGTCATAGACCCTCCAGGACGCCTATGTGTTCACCTGGCCTAGGGTAGACACCTCCAGAATGTTGGTCACCTGGCAACCCCAAGCACTTGCCAGCCATACAACTGCGAACCTGGTGCCGGCGTATCAAAACCGACCTGGTTGTTGACTCGGGTTGGGACGTAGCTTTTGCAGCTTTGTCAGACTCCGGCTGCACTGCATAAGTGCCCGCCCACCTTTCTTTCCTCTACTCCCTCGCCTTGGTGCTGATCCAGGATCAAGGGCACGTTGCATTTGATGGTTGTGGTTCGACAGCCAGTTGGCGAAGACATCGCCTTCTTTACCTCCTTGCCTCCGGCCATCACTCCAAAGTTGGGGTTATCTAAGTAGCACTCCTTGACCTCTTCACTCACTCTTCAGTCAGACGGGCGGCAAAATATGCGCATGACCATTAGTTTTCGGATGCATTAGCCTCTTGTTACTAGCAAATCCATGCCCAAGCAATGTCTTCGCTTTTCCCTTCAACTGGGGGGGATTTAGCGATAGCCATGAAGTTGGATCAGACAAGAACAGAAGCAGTGTAATCATTTGAAGTGCAGGGTATACTCTCGAAGCCGGTGGTATGATATGACACCTTCAGATACCTCACTGTTATACTACAAGTTTTCTTACTTTTGCACACTGCGAAACCGGGCTCAGCTCTCAACAACTTCCCCCTCCCCACCCCCTTTTTTTCCCTTCCCCCCTCCAGCTCCAGTGAAATTCCATGTTCCCTGAGGGTACATGCAATGGATCCCACACATACCTACTTATTGTCATGGAAGTGACGTTCGAAATCGCGAATTACCTCCCCAACGACTTCCATGTGTGCTTGCGCTCGGCCCCTCGCTCCGAATGCGCCCACCGGCAACAACACGAGAGCCTTGTCATCTAGGAAGAGGGATATTCGGTGGTTTTCCAGCTCGTCTTGTTCCTCCTCGGACCGGTGAGGGGCGATATCACCTGAGTAGCTACGAGGCTTGGTCGTTAGCCATGGCCGAGTCTCGGTATGGAGGTCTTCACTTCTTGTGATGACAGGTGCTCTTTGGGGGAAGAAGGGGGGGGATGAAAGTCTTTGACTTACCTTGCGGCAGAGCCTTGCTCTGCTCTGACCGAGTCCATCGAGGTACCTGATGCCATGATGATTTTGGCCCGAGGGGAACGTATCGACTGTTTGGCAGGCAAGGGCAGGGGGGATATTATAAGTCCCTTAACTTCGAAGGCTGGGGTATCTATTCTTGGATGAGACAACAAGCAGCAGAGAGACGAAGGGGTGAAGAGGATGGATGGGCCGCCGGTTCAAACTGTGCTGCCCGAAGGATGGCATTTTACAGGATTGGGGTCTGGAGTCTGAGGATGATGGCGGACTTATATATTCTGAGGCGCACAGCACAAAAGTGTGCTCTTCGTTTAGCCACAATTTGTCCCTGAAGTAATGGACGGACCATGATTGGACTCGGAAGGATGGACCTTTGGGCGTGGGGTTTGTGATTTGAGCTGGGCGTAGATGGGAACAGCTTCGAAGGCGTGGGGGGGGAGGGGGATTTTGGGTAGACTGCTTCCGCAGTCGGGTCAAGGCATCCCCAGGTTCCTGCGCAAGCACAGGAGGCACGCGACCGCCATTGGCGGAATTGACAAGAGCAACAACAATGCCAGGGGGGGGGGGGGGGGGTTTGATGAAAAATGGTAGCTGACGATGAGTTTCTTTTTCAGGGGGTTTTTATCACTTTTTTATCATCATTAAAGAAATATTGCCCTGATCTTCCCCAAACATGGGAAGTCCCGGCCTCTTGCACTAGAGGAACCTTGGTTGGGGCCTTAAAAAAGGCTGTGGTGCCGCCTGCGCGGGCCAAAACTCTGGGGAAGAAGAGCTCCACAGTCGAGAGCTCAACCGACATGGATGATGGTGTGGGAATTTGAGAGCCTCATTGGATTCCACCCCTCAACCCAACAGATCGTCTCCCAACACACGCACTCCGGTGCCACTCCAAACCTTTTGAACTTTGTTCCCCCCCACAGCCACTTTATAAGTTAGTCCCTGACGGGATCGCACAACCCCTCCCCCACTTAAAACTGCACACCCGGGATTGCTAGGAGTCAATCAGGACCGGCATGATGACCTAATACACATCCCGGCAGCCGAGGCATGCCGTTAATAGGGGCCTCAAAGAATGCCAGCTCGAATAACGGGACACAAAAAGAACCGAGGAAGGCCGCCTGCACCCACCCAAATAGGAAGTAATAACACCACGAATCAGATCTAAGCAGGTGGGAAAAGAAGGGGAAGAGAGGAAAGGCGTATGGGAAAGAAGAGTTCTTCCCAGGGGTGTTCCTAACAGCAGTGTAATGAAGGGGCAGCAGACGGACCGCAGACGGACTGCAGGCAGACAGCAGTGCAGAGAGACGGTAAGGTGGGCAGCAAGATGGCGCGGAGACACCTACTGATAGGAACGAGACACGCGGCCCGATGGTAGCCTCTGCGTGGGGTGCAGCCCGGGCCTACCTAAGGTACTGTACCTACTTATGAAACCTTCCATACCTACCTTACTTTCAGGTAACTACCTAACTTACCGGTCAGCCGGTGAGCAACGCAGACCTGTAAGCGCCGCAAAATTGTGGCTTTGCAAAGTGGTTGCTCCTTGGCTTCCTGGTGGTGGCGTTTTTTCCTTCTTTTTCTTTTTCCGGCGCAGTTTCCTGCAAGGCAAAACGGAGTGCGTGTTCGGCAGACTGCCTTGTGATTCATAGACCAGTCGATTCAATCGGTCTGCTGAAGAAAAATCTTCAGGCCCACCAAAGGTCATCTACGCCGTGTCACCGTGGTGCCACACCCATCCCTGTGCCACACCCATGGTAGATCCCGACATAGACACGTCAACCCTTTCCCCGGAAAGTGTCTAGGGCTGGTGGTCCTTCCATCAAGGATGAGTAGGGATTCCCGACATTGCGCCCGAGTAAGGTGTCTCGCTTTCTCGAGACCAATCAGCCAATCGTTGCGACTAGAGATTCGTTCCGCATTTTGCGGGCCATGCGGTTGACAAAGGGGCGCGAGAGGATTCGCCCTACAATTGCGCCCCACATAATGTACGTCACATAAGTGGGGATTCATCCCAGGCACGATTTTGTGGGGATTCAAACACCCACCCGTAGGGCAAGGAAACGAAACACCGCGTGGGGGTTCTCTGGAGAATGGATGCGACCCGACGTCCACGGGTCCCACACACCGCCAAGTACCTACCGAGGTTCCAACTTATTCGTTGCAAGCGGTGAGCGCTTTACATTTCGTGATACTATCTATAGATCAATCTCGCCTCGATATTTCGTCCTCCTTTTTAATTACCTCAATTCCTTATTAGTGGACAAAGTTTCATCTCCCCCGTTTTGTTAGGTATCAAGCCTCTCCATATTTACACAGGTAACTCGAAATGGGGGACCATCCCTCCTCCATTAACCTGAGGCGACAGATCTTGCTCACCGACATTTTTGAGCCGGATGTGAACGTGATCCTTTACAATCCAGATTGAGCCCTTCCGCCGCCTCCTTCAAGGGCGAAGGGGTCAAGGAATCAAGGGAAGCCAATCCCAACTCGGAACCCTTTGTTAGAGCACATCTACCACTTCGTTTATGGACAGGATTGGCCCCAGGTTGAGTACTTGAATTGGCTCGTACGTGAGGCCCTTCTGGTCTCCCAGGGAGGCGAATCGCCGAGTGTTGGCGCAGATGACCAGAAACGGAGGGTGGTGTATTATTCAGATATAGCTAGTTTGTATACACTTGAGAAACACTCTCCGCCCTTCTGACCAAATCCGGCTCGCCCGTCTGACAAAACAGGGATCAATTATGACGAAAGAAGACAGCATATTGTTACATTGCAAGACTTGGCCAATAGTGACCACCTTGAAGACTCGCCGGCCCCCGAATGCCTGGGCTACCCGCTCATGGGTATAATCGAGATGTGTAGGGACTCGTTTGGTCGTTATCACAGGGCGGGTGCACCTGGGGCCGCTTCCCCTCCTGCTAAGAGTTGTTCGAGCATCAAGAGCAAGGAATCCAAGATAGCTTCTTGACCGGTCGCGGTAGTGTTGGTTGTGTTGTGAGCTCTATCCCATAGCCTTTGGACAATGTCGCTGCCGTCATTTTCCATGTAAGTCCGAAGCCGGCTCTGGCGGAGTCTCTTGGTATCTTCAGGGTGCGGAATTGGTACTGTGCCAGTCCTGCTCAAAGTTGTCAGATCTCTAAACTGCGTCATTCGGCTGATTTTGCGAATAATGGTGGTTGTTTTGGAAGGCGCGGTCTGTAAACAAGGACATACATCGATCCATCGTCGACGTTGAGATACATGGAGCTATTATCGGCCATTGGGAGACGATTTTGATGAAGGTCCGAGGGTGTCTTTGGAGTTCGGTGCAAGAAGGCTGGCTGTGGCGATGCGGATGACGGTACGGCGAGGCGATCCCAAACTCGAGTGCGGCGTCGAAGCAGGGTAGGAGACAGGCGGCAGGAGGCAGGAGGCAGGAGGCAAGATTTAAATACTTAAATAATCTGGGAGAACGAAGGTTCAGTTCCCCAAACAAGGCTTGCCAACGGGCGACTCAAGTTAGATTCGCAGGTGGAAGGAACCCTAGTCACCAGGCCAGGGGTACAGATGCCCTTGTTAACAAAGCTGGGAGCGCCCTCCATGCCAGCCAGGAAGAAAAAAAAGATGCCCGGCGGTGTGGACAAGTTACCTGGTCAACAATACGGGAGCTGCTATAGGCCAACTGTCTCTTTGGAGACCTGTATGTCTGGGATTGGTAGCGTGCCTTGGGAAGAAATGGACGTCACTGAGCCGAGCTTCCATGTTTACCGGGGACAGGCTTGTGAAGGTGGTGCGCCAACTGGCGGCGACTTGTCCGCCAAACATGGGGAGGGCATGTTCTCATGCTCGGAGAAAGGGCAAAACACTATATCCTGGTTGACAGACGGGGCCCCTGCCTTCGGCGCAGCCCCTGGCTCAGTGAAGATGCTGCAGGTGACTAACTCTAGGTACCTAAGCAGGTCCTGCAGGGAAATTTTGCTTAATGTAGGGAGGCAGGAAGGCTGGGGGGGTGGGATGCACCCGCCGTTCGATGATAGTTACACAGCAGATTGATGACATGAAGAGATCCTGTTAGGGCAGCCTTTCCCGTCGAACTTTCCATGTTATGCGCTAGTTGCTGTTGGGGAGCGGTTGCCACACGACGTGTCTGGCGCGACCGCAGTTGGGCTGGTGTCATTGGGTACCTATCCTGCACCTTAACAGAAGTATGGAATCTACCTACGAAGGTAGGTAGGTACCTCTGCGCAATATAAGGACAGTGGAGAACTAGGTAGGCGACCCCCGCGAAGCTGATGGAGTCCCATCAAATTATCTGGATAAGCTCTTCCCAATCGAGATTCGACTGCGGCAATGCGCAAGTCGTTGTTTAAAACTTGGGTCTTGGTTATATTTTAAGGAGACCGCCAACTTATCCTGGTGGGCGTAGGCACGTCGAGGCTGCGCTTCTGGCTGCGCTTCTGGCTGCAAGGTTTCCTCTTCCCAAGTTGGCTTGCGTGTCAATGGCACACACCGCTGCTGGACTTTAGTCGTCTGGCACAGCCCGAGGTACCTAGCTACCTAGGTAGTTTCTCAAGGAGGAGTAGAAGTTGGGACTTCGGTAGCAGGTCCTAGAGAACAGTGGGTCACAAGATGTACGGATCCTTGGCCATTGACAGGGATCCTTGGTCGTTGGCAGGTCATCTTGTCGAGGCCGGTTCTTGGCGCGTCTAGTCCCGGAACCCACTCTTTCCGCTTCCCCCGTCCGGGGACTTTGTCGCGTGGAAGCCACGTGGCGAGTAGATCCCCTAGTCCATTAACGGAATAAAGACATCTCGACCCCTGAGTTCCTGTGGCCTCCCCTGACAACTGGCCAGGATGTTCGCAGTAAAGTGAAAGTCCTGTAATTAGGTAGCGGATTACTAAGTAAGCACACGGAGTTGCCGAGATGGAACTGGTAGGCTGAAAGTGAGTTGTCACGGCCACTCCTAAACATCTTTCACTCCCAGAACGATTGTCACCCCCCCAAAACATCTGTTTTCCCCCAAAGCATCTTTCCCCGCCCAAGTTACTCTGGACGTTGACAAGGTCCAGCTCTATACCCCTGCATATCCTTATCCACCTCTTTTTAACATCTTAGGGCGAATCGACGCAGCCTCTACTTCCCAAGGTACGACCCCCTGAACCTTTCTGGGACAGGATGACGCTGCCGGGGAACCATGTTCTCTGCTATCTCAAGCCTCTTATGGGGAAAGCCCCCACATATTCTGCATCCCACACCAGTCAGGATGACCTTCACGCGCCGGTGCGAGGTTGGTCAACTTCCACTTGACTTCCGCTTGTTGCCTGCAAGTTTACGATGCAGACAGGGATTGGCAATTAAGAAGGCTGCCATTTTGCCAATCCTAATCTCAACCTTCGTAGAGAGTTTTATGTCCTCGACTATCGTCCATCTGCCAAATGCTGAGGGGGCCGAGAGGAATGCGCTTAGCCAGGCTCTGGCTTCGCCAAGGGCCGGGCTTTTCTGATCAACGGAAGAATCTCCTGTCGGCGTATTGATCCGGATCTGTGTACTTGCGGCTTCGGCTCGAGGTGTATCGAGGATGCAGTACATGATCGCTGCCGTGGGGTACGCCAACAGTCTACTCTCAGACTTCGTTCCATGTACTCTTTTCTCGAGAAGCTCTTCCATCTGACTCTCCGGCCAGCAATTGACTGTTCAGTACCTTTGAGGGTCTTTGACCATGGCAATCTCGTTGCTTCCGTGAAAACCAGCGCTTCGCCTTCAAACAAGCGTGGTTAGTTGAAATACGGACAGTAGGGGGGAGCGGGAGTGTTTGTCCTACTTGGACATTTCCAAGAATATTGCAAAACATGGGATAACCTGGTTTCACATTTAAATCATTGGCTCTTAACTCTTCTGTGCTGTTTATCAGAGGGAAGTCTTGGGATCCATGCCTGATCTTATGTAAGTCCCCTCCTCGACCACGCCGATAGCATGCATTGGCTTTCTCGAGAAAAAAAGCTAGGGCCGACAAGAAGCGGAAAGCGGCGAGAAAGCGGGCGCATGGTGTACCTAGGTAGCTAATTGGCCGAACGTTCACACAGTAGTAGCGTAATGATCTAGCCCGGCATGCGGCCGAAACCGAGGTCCAGTGGGCTGATCTGGAAGTCGCCGTCAAGTCGAGTTGGGAAGCAAAACATGAGGCAAGTTCCCATCATACCAGGCAGTTTCTCGTGGATATCTCGAGACATGTGCAATTAACGAGCACGTAAAATGAACTGAGATTTGATATTAGACTGTCGACAACTTTTTGACGTTCCATACTGAGTGAGGTTCTTATCTCTTGAAGACAAGATCAAGAGACGAGGAAAGCTTCAGCCAGGGTGGGGAAAGCACAAATAGTGTCCCAAGCTTTCAAACTAGCCTCAACCTTACCACGGCCGCTAGGTGCACGGAGTACTCCGCTCGCAATGTCGTTATTTGCAGTGGCCGTTTTCAGTATGTACCTACCTGAGCACCTCCCTGCCTCTTGTGATTTTGCGGGGTCTATATGAGAGAAAAAAATGGGTTACTGTTTTCTCCGTATTATTGTACTTAGTTGACGTGAGGCATTGGATGGCAGGGTATTCTGTTACAGGATGTAAAATCACTTGCAAAAGAAAGTCGTGACTTGGCTCCTGGGGGGAAATGGGGGTCAGTACTTTTGGGCGACCACAGTCTAGAACATGCATTATATTCCATGACGTATCATGGCTTCATGACATCACCATCAGACCACTTCTTTGCAGCATATCGAATATCGAATACGCAAGCTGCAAGCTACATCTGCCTATTGACCGTCGCTACGAGCCGAACACACCCTGATAGGTTCCCTAATTGATGTCCCCTGTATGATCCCACTCCCGCAGGCCCAAATGTGGTCCAGCCTTCCACCATGATTGCTGTTTCTCAGTGCTTCTTGCAGAGCTGCTTTGAGAAGGGCACCGATTGCATGGCGTGGGCACATTCCGCAGGTACATGTAGTGTCCATTGGATATCTATCACACCTATATAATGACCAACTGTACCTCAAATGATCAAACCTTGTCTTCCCACAACTTTCAACCCCGCAAATCAACTACCCTCAATTCCCTCGCACACTCCTCCACGGTCCCCTAAGCCAATTGGTTCTCACCACCAGCAGCAATTGTACAATGGGTGACTCGGAAGAGATTGAGAGCATCAGTCCGTACGGACCTGCTCGTTCCACCGTCAAGGGCAACCCTTTGTCCAAGGAGGAGATCGAGAAATACAATGACTTCTTCAAGGCGAGCCTGTACCTCGCCCTTGGCATGATCTACCTCCGGGACAACCCTCTGTTGAGACAACCACTCGAGCTCAAACACGTCAAAGCTCGACTTCTCGGCCACTTCGGCTCGGCGCCTGGCCAGATCTTCACTTACATGCACTTCAACCGTTTAATCAAGAAATACGATCTTGATGCGATTTACATCTCGGGGCCTGGCCATGGCGCTCCTGCCGTGCTCTCTCAAGCCTACTTGGAGGGCACGTACTCGGAGGTTTATCCCGACAAGTCAGAGGACGAGGATGGCATGCAGAGATTCTTCAAGGACTTCTCCTTCCCCGGCGGCATTGGGTCGCATGCCACGCCCGAGACCCCCGGCAGCATCCACGAGGGTGGAGAATTGGGATATTCCATCTCGCATGCTTTCGGCGCCGTCTTTGACCATCCAAGCCTCATTGCTCTGACTGTAGTTGGCGATGGTGAGGCCGAGACCGGTCCGCTCGCAACGGCGTGGCACAGCACCAAATTCCTCAACCCTATCACTGATGGCGCTGTGCTGCCCGTTTTGCACCTGAACGGCTACAAGATCAACAACCCGACCATCCTGGCCCGGATCAGTCACAAAGAGCTCGAGAGCCTGTTCATCGGCTACGGCTGGCAGCCGTACTTCGTCGAGGGCGACGACATCGAATCCATGCACCAGGCACTAGCCGCCACACTCGAGCGCTGCGTGGTTGAGATCAAGAAATACCAGAAGGAAGCCCGTGACTCAGGCAAGGCTCTCCGGCCTCGGTGGCCATTGGTCGTTCTCCGAACCCCCAAAGGGTGGACTGCCCCTCGCAAGGTCGACAACAAGTTCCTTGAGGGTTTCTGGCGTTCACATCAGGTGCCAATAACGGACGTGCGCGAGAACCCAAAGCACCTCGAGCTTCTGGAAAGCTGGATGCGAAGCTACGAGCCCGACCGCCTGTTCAAAGACGCCAGGATTAGCAAGGAACTGAAGGAGGCCCTCTGCCCCACTGGCAGCCGACGTATGAGCGCCAATCCTGTCGCCAATGGCGGCACCATCAAGAAGCCCCTGAAAATGCCGAATTTCCGCGACTATGCTATCAAGGTCGATAAGCCGGGTGTCACGTTCGATGCGAGCATGGTGAACATGTCAGCCTACCTGAGAGATGTTGTCGCCCTGAACATGACAAGCTTCCGTCTCTTTGGCCCCGATGAGACGGAGTCGAACAAGCTAGGAAAGGTGTATGAAGCGGGAAAGAAGGTATGGATGGGCGAGTACTTTGAGGAGGATAAGGATGGCGGCAACCTGGCTCCTGCCGGGCGCGTCATGGAGATGCTCTCGGAGCACACCTGCGAGGGCTGGCTCGAGGGCTATATCCTTACCGGCCGCCATGGCCTCCTCAACAGCTACGAGCCCTTCATCCACGTCATCGATTCCATGGTTAACCAGGTACGGGCTTGCACATTCACCGTCCCCCTCCTCACCGCTCATTGATTCGTTTCTCGTACTAAAACATATCTCCCGTAGCACTGCAAATGGATCGAAAAGGCGCTGGAGGTCGAATGGCGAGACAAGGTCGCCTCACTCAACATCTTACTGACAGCCGTGGTCTGGAGACAAGATCACAACGGCTTCACACACCAAGACCCTGGCTTCCTCGATGTCGTGGCCAATAAGAGTCCCGAAGTCGTCCGCATCTACCTGCCACCTGACGGAAACTGCCTCCTCTCAGTCATGGACCACTGTTTCCGGTCCTCCAACTACGTCAACGTTATCGTCTCTGACAAGCAGGAGCATCTTCAATACCTGTCCATGGAGGAAGCTGTCGTACACTGCACGAAGGGCATCGGTATCTGGCCTCAGTTCAGCTCTGACGCGGGTGAAGAGCCCGACCTTGTGATGGCGTCCTGTGGCGATATTCCGACACACGAGTCACTCGCCGCGATCGACCTGCTATTGCGACACTTCCCCGAACTGAAGATCCGCTGTGTCAACGTGGTCGACCTCTTCAAGCTGATCTCACACATTGACCACCCGCACGGCCTCACGGACCGCGAATGGGTCGGTCTCTTCACCGCCGACAAGCCCATCATCTTCAACTTTCACAGCTACCCCTGGCTGGTGCACCGCCTCACCTATAAGCGCCCTGGTAGCATCAATCTGCACGTCCGCGGGTACAAGGAGAAGGGCAACATTGACACGCCGCTCGAGCTGGCCATCCGCAACCAGACGGACCGGTTCAGCCTCGCCATGGACGCCATCGACAGGATGCCCCACCTGCACAACCGCGGCTCGGCGGCGCGGGAGGCCCTCCATAACGAGCAAATCAGGGCTCGGAACGAGGCCTACGAGACCGGGATCGACCCGCCGTTCCTGAAGAATTGGACGTGGCAGGAGAATGTCACAAAGGCGAAGAAGGCCTGAGACGGAGGCAGCAGCCAGCATCTTCCGCTGATGGTTCTGATGCCAAAGGAAGGCCGATATTGAGGCTGGGTATGGGGGGTTACGAGCCTAATGAAAGAGGGAACTGTAGGCTGGTGTTCAGGTATCATAATAGAACCATATTCGATTTCGACTACATTAACCTCAGACTCACCTCATTGAGAACATATCCTGGGGTGGAATCCTGTGTTGGCTTCGTCCCTTCGCGGTAGGGAGGACGCTCCTAGAACAAAGAAAGTAGCAGCAGCTTGCAAATTGGTTATATATATACCTACGCAAGGACACGATTTTCTATATTAATTGAATACTTGATTGCTAAAGAGTCTGTGAGGGCATTGCTCAACCCCAATTCAAAAGGCGAAATGGCAAAGATCTGATTGGCCTATACGGAGGCCCATAGGAGCCGGTGTCTCAAAACTGTCCTATGGGCCTCCGTAGCCTTGCTTGCGCCAAGTGGGGTCGGGACTTTTGCGGTCTAAGTGCGATAAGATAAGGCCCTTCAAAAAATTCAGAGCCATTCCGTCCATCCCCCAAGAAACCCCCCTCCATAAGTTCTTCTGATAGGATTGAGGAGCAGCAATACCACAACCATGGGCAAGAACAGGAAGTCTAAACGCCAATTGGTGCGGGATGAGAGGAGGAAGAAGAAATTGGGCCGGCGCCTGGCAAACGAGGAAGAAGGGCAGGAAAGAGGGCAAGAAGCAGAGACACAACAGCTCCAGCTCGAGACCGAGACCAAGACCCAAGACCAACATGCCGAGTTCATCCCCTTCGACGAAGATGTCCCCATGCACGATACCGCCCCTCCAAGCTACGAGCCCGAGAAAGAGTTCTTTGGTATGCTTGCTGACGAGGAGCAAGAGTACTTCCGCCACGCCGATGAGTTGCTGGAGCTGAACGACTTTCCCTCGCCCGAGGAGCGCGCCATCTTCCTGCAAAACGTCTTTAAGGAGGCAGAAGGGAAGGAGTTGAAGCTGGCAAGCAGCCAGTCCTGCTCACGTCTGATGGAGCGTCTGATATTGTTATCAAACTCCCAGCAGAAGAAGCATCTATTTGAGGAGTTCGCTGGGCACTTCCTCACCCTCGTCACACACCGCTTCGCCAGCCATTGTTGCGAGAAACTCTTCATTCAGTCCGCACCGGTTGTCACAGAGGAGCTGGAGGGTGCTCCAGCGGCGGTCTCGCATGATTCCGGTGAGGATGACCAGAAACCGCAGGCTCCCATGGAGGACCTGTTTCTTCAGATGTTGGACGAACTGGAGGAGCACCTCACTTTCCTCCTCTCAGACCGTTACGCCTCTCATACCATTCGAGTGCTCCTCGTCATCTTATCCGGAAGGACACTAGATCAAATATCAACCAAGTCGTTACTACAGAGCAAAAAGAAGGAGTATATCACAGTCGCTGGAGCCCAGTCAGCCGAAGGCAACGAGCTCTTGTCTCGGAAAAGAGCAGTCCCCGGATCGTTTACCATGGCCATTCGAAAGATCATTACTGATTCGACATCAACCATGGATTCTACAGCTCTCCGAGTCTTGGCAAAACATCCCACTGGAAACCCCGTCCTTCAGTTGCTTTTGGAACTCGACATTTCCCTCAACACCAAATCGAAAGAGGCGAAACCAGACGATGAGGCGGAGACACCGCTTCTCGAGAGACTAATTCCAGGGGCTCCGTCTTCGTTCAAGGACGAAGACTCGAGTGCCTCGGAGTTTGTCAACTCCATGATCTATGATCCTATTGGCTCGAGACTTCTCGAAACTCTCATCATGTATAGCCCTGGCAAGATTTTCAAGGGGATGCAAGCACATTACTTCGGGCCGCGGATACACAACCTCTTGAGAAATGACATCGCCTCATATCCTGCAATTCGGGTGCTCAATCGGCTGAGCAAGGAAGATCTTGTAGATGCCGTGCAGAAGTCATTGCCGCACGTCCCGCTCCTACTTGAGAAGGGGCGCTTCAATGTGCTGAAAACACTATTTGAGCGGTGTGATGTACGGAAAGCCCAGGCCGAAATTGACGCTCTCCTGGAGGCTGTGATCAACCTCTATGGGGGCCATCCCGAGATCCTGGTCCCCAAACTCTGTAGCTTGGAGGCAGAAGAAGCACGGGAAGGATTCCAACAGGACATCAAGAACAAGCAGTCTCTGGTCTCTCACGGCTGTCAGCTGGTGGGGGCCATGCTTGGCATAGCAGGCTCGCCTTCCGAGGCCGTCCAGACCTCAATTTTGGCGCTCTCTCCTGAGTATCTCGTCTCCCTAGCAACATCTTCAGGGCCCACAGCAAATATCTTGACGACCGCCTTCGCCACTCCTTCTCGGGGTCCCGCATTCCACAAAGTACTTGTTGCCAACCTGGTACCACATGTTATGGAGCTTGTCAACTCGCAATATGGTCATAACATACTCAATGCCATCATCAACGCTCCTTCCAAGGGCGATGGGATATCAATTCCATTCCATCTGAAGGAGGTCATCGTCTCTCAGCTATCTGATCACGAGAGAGAAATCAGAGAGTCGTGGACAGGAAGAAATGTGTGGCGAACGTGGAAAGGTGACGTGTGGAACCATCGGAAAGCCGAGTGGATAAGGTGGGCGAAGGAAAGGGACCCGGAAGGAGCCAGGCAGGCAGCGACGCCGAAACCGAGACACGGCGGCAAATGGGACGAGGCGCGGAGGAGGCAGAATTTCGATACGGGGAGGAGGGTAGGGAATACGGTGACGCCTGTGTAAGGACTTTTATGATACCCACCGGGGAGTAACAGCTGTTATTATGATATGGGGATCCCTTGACACTGCTCGCCGGTTCGAAGGTAACACTTACCACTTCTACCACTTCTACCGCCCTCTTCGTCGCATTGCCGCTTACCCCTTGGTCATCTCTCTCCCTCTCTCAGGGTCTACCATAAATGCTCCTCTGGCTCATGTGGACCCGGAAGTGATCATGATAGCTGATACCCCCCTGGCCTTTGTATAGACTTGATGCAGTGCAGGATATCGAGAGCATTACTCCCCCTAGCTTATTGCCCAACAGCAACAAATACAGCAACAAATGGACTTTCGTGGGGGATGAGAGAGGGTTAGGGGTTAGGGGCCAGGCTGTTGCTAGGGGAGCATGTGAGATTCACTTCAAAGTTGACCTCACATATAGGTGAAGGAGGTACCTACTTAATTGCCCTTTCCAAGAGGGCGGTAACCTGGGAAACGCGATCATAATTGTTTTCCCTCCAAGCCTGAAGTTCGCGTGTTCCTGCATTTCATCCGCCACCATCAAGGTACCTCCTACCTACCTACCTACCTAAAGGCCTCCCGACCTTACAAAACCCACCCACCCACATCACCACATCACCACACTCGCCGAGATTTCCAATCAAAATCGCCGTGCACTTCCCGCCATGGACGGCAACCCTTTGTCAAATGGTATGCCTGCCATGGACAAAACTACTTTTCCAAGTGGTATTCCCGCCATGGGCGATAATCCTTTGTCAGGTAGTGTGCCTGCTGCCATGGAGGATCTTCTTTTGTCAAAAGGTTTCCCTGCCGCGGCCGATATTCCTTGGCCAACTGATATGCCTTGGCGCAGGGAGCCTGAGACTCCTTTGTCTCCTTTCTCAAAACGTTTGCATCTTGCAATGGAGAATGAAGTGAGAAAACATGAAGCGAGAAAACTTGCAGAAATGGAACCCACGGGACAGGACACAACGGGAAAGGGGATGATAGAAATGTTCCAGGTTGATGATGACTTCGATCCTTTCGGCCCTGCAGTCGATGCACCTGAAGAGGACTCTGAGCAGGAAGTCTCAGCCGAGGAGGAGAAGGTCAAGGCGGAGCATACTCGTCTTCTCCGAGAGGTAAGTCTGCACCTACTGAATGAACCTCAAGCCTAGTGGCCTGCCGCACACTTGATCTCACACAAGACCCTGCCATTGGGAGAATGGTCCCTTTGTCATGTCCTCAACTGCCCTTGACCGTGTCGGCGATACTCCCCCTCCTCAGAGTTGGCAGACTAACATGGTGCGTGTGGCCTCTAAACAGTGGCATCGGAATCATCATCTCGAGCACCTCTATGACGGGAAGAGAACCCCGATTGGCAATGTCAGCAAAGCCATCCCCATCTATCTAATCATTTGGTTCGGAAGCATGTGGAAGACCCACGTCCCATTTCCAGGAGCAACTCTGAGTATGGCGAGACTTCCTCGCCAACCAGCCGAATATCCACCACCAAATCCCGCGTATCCCCTCAACAACCCTCCATATCTTCCACCTCAGATTCCTCAAGTTCTTCAGATCCCTCAGAATATTTCGCCACCAATCGATCCGGTCTCGCTCCCGCCAGTATCTGCAACCATGGACGTTGACAACACTCCCTCGGTTCCACTTGCGGCTCTCACCGCTGACCCGGAGCCAAATTCTTGGTCGGCCACCCCCGCTCCAGCTGCCAGGCGCGTCGTGACCCGCGCTGCCCGTCCCACGCCCGTCATGGTCCCCGCTGCCGCTGCTGGACCCGCGATGGCCCCCGCCGCGGCCGCCGCGCCCGGTCCCTTCATGATGCCCGTCGCCGCCGCGCCCGGCCCCTTCTTGATGCCCGTCGCCGCTCCCGGCGCCGTCATGGCACCCGTCGCCGGTCCCAGGCGCGCCGTGGCCCCGGGGATGTGCCCCGACTGCGGCTATCCGATGTCCAACTGCTGCCGCGGGAAAGGGAAGAAGAAGGACAAGCCCAAGAAGCCCAGGTACCGCGGCCCTCCCGGCGGCAAGGGCCAGCACAACATGGGTGTCGTCGAGCCCGGCAAGCCGAAGAAGGTGGCTCCGAAGGTCGAGAAGGTGAGGAAGGATTTTCCCTGGTTCCGCCCCCCCCCCCCCCCCCCTCTTCCCCCCCAAGATGACGGGAGTCATGAACTGATGATCTAACGGGACGGTATCACAGGCCGAGAAAACCGCGGAAGTGGCTAAAGATGGCACCGATGCCAAGGACTGGGTTAAGAAATAGTAGTCCGGTCCGACTACCACGCTGGCGAAAAAGCAGCCAGCCAAGACTTGTCGTCTAGTTCTGACGGGACCGGAAGGGGATAGCACGGCCGGTATGGCGTGCTCGATGATCCAAGTCTAAAAATTGGGTGTCCCTCTCCATCTGTCTGGAAACCCACATATGGGGGATATTCCGGGGCGGACGACTGTGAGTACCTCTCCCGCCCTCTCCCTCTCTTCCAGCCTGGTTCCCTGAGCTTGTGGCATGTTCTCACCGGTCGATGCTAACCAATCCTCTCGCTAGTGGCTTTCTTTCCTCTCCTTTCCTTTTCGATTTTGTTTTCGTTTTTTTTTTGGGGGGGGAGACTATCCGTGTGCCTGATGATAGGCAACCGGTTTGATGGGAAGTGCTCCGAGTGAGCCAATAATACCCAACATGTCCCCGAAGAATTTCCCCTGGCAACTGTTTTCGGTCCTTGGAGACCAACTGGAGGACATCATCCCGTCTTCCATTTCATCATGACCCATGCCCTGGCGCCTTAGTCTATGACTGAGGAAAGCCATGTGCTTCGTGATCAGGGTGCCCCTTGGTCAGGGGGAGAGAGGACCGGCAGGTTAGGAGAGTTCCGAGGAAGCTCCTTCAGTTAGGCCTAGGTAGTCACTCAGAAAACACGGACTGAAGTTTCGCACTTTCGCCTAGTTTCTTTCTCCAAGACCAATGGGTATCGGTATTATCTGCCTATCACTAGGAGTGGAGTACTCCCAGCCGCTCCTCCATAAGATCACCAACACCAGACCAACGCCCAAATTTGACAGTAATTCTCCTCCCAAGACCTTCCGTACGAGACCGTCGTCGTGAATGCATAATAACCCTCACCCGGAGGAGAAAAATCTGCTCGAAAGAAAGTCCAAAAAAACCGTCCCGAGCTGCGCGCCCCCTCGTTCGTACCCCTTTCCCCTTGATACCAGGGGGTCTAAACGGTGTGAAGGAATGAATCCGAAGATAGAAGTAGCATCCCGAATCACCGGGTGTGATTGTGCAGCGAGCCTCCCCTCCCGCAAGCGTAACAAGCAAACCGCAACCGCGGGAAAGATCCGATGGCGAAAACCGTGAGGAGAGTGGGGGGTTCCAGATTGCCTGATTCAAGCCTGTGCAGGCGTGCGTGTAACGGAACCGTGACCGTCCTCGAGCGTCACACACCAAAAGAAAAACACCACTGCTTCCTCCTGTGACCGACCAACCGAGCTCTCAACGGGCCTCAGCCTCGAGCTTGCCCAGCTCCTCCGTGTTGACCCACGCGTCCCACGAGTCCCCGTCCCCGCCACCGGGGGTCCCGATCCTGCTCCCCTCATGGTGGTGGTAGTGGCTATGGCCCGAGAACCCCTCGGCGGCGGCGAACCGGTTCGACGAATGCAGGCCCGGGTTGAAGTAACCGACCTCCTCTAGCATCGGCCAGGCCTGCTGTTGGTGGTGGTGTTGGTGGTGGCCCTTCATCCTGTACGCGGCGGGGTCGGCTGTCATGGGGTTGACGGGTGCGGCGAAATGGGTCGTTTCCATGCCCGTGTGGGGCAGGCCCGACATGTCGCCGGGGATGCCGAAGAAGGTGCCAGCCATTGGGTCGCTGAGGTCGATGTTCGCGAGGAGTTTTGTCTCTTGCGGCAGCTCGGCCGTGAACGATGAGCGCTGCGGGGAGGAGTCGTGGACCGAGGCAAGGGTCGGGTCGATGAGGCCTGGCATCGACGAGGATGGTACCGTGATGTGGTAGGGCTGCGGCTGGTGGGCGAAGGTCGATGGGGAGTGGGACCGCGTCGTGTCTGAGTTTCCTGAGCCCGGCGTCAAGCTGGGCGTCGATAGCTGGTCGTCGGCCGAGGAGGGTAGTTGGACCGGGGAGCGGCTTTGACGAGGGACGGACGGTCGCCGAGGCGACATTGAAGAGGTATGAGATGATGTTGATTGGGATCGGTTGGGATGGAAGGATTGGGGGTTGTGCGGCTGGGCCGGGCCGCATTGGTTCTCTGCTAATGGCTGGAAGTACACCGACTGAACCAGATTCTGTGACATCTGAGACGCGTTTGGGAAAGACTCGGAGAACATCCGGTTGACCTCCTGGTGTCGCGCCAGGGTCCTCATGGCTACCTGGTTCGTGATGTATGCGTTTAGTCTGCTGTTCATGTCCTCGGAAGATGTCTGAAGGTGTGCTGCGAGGGCTCGGTAGTGACGAGGCAGGTCATCCTCCTCCTCCTCATACATCTCCTCTTTTATGACAATCTCTTCGGAAATCTTGAACCCCTTTCCCGTCCTCTTCTTGTGGATCTCAGAGGCCATGCGTGCCGACTGCACTCGAGCCTCGATACTGCGATCTGCTCTTCGCGAGGCTGCGATATATGCTCGCTCCTGGTTTTCCTCATGTGATCTTTCCGTCTGCTCGCCGAGTTAGATACACGTTTCTGGTGTTCGTCAACTTTGGATTACACACCTTTTTCTGAACTCTGTCCATGTCTATGGGGAGTGGAGAGGAGATATCTAGCGGACGTTTCGGCATGGTTGCTGGATTCACACGATGCGAGGCTGGTGGATCTTTTGAGTAGAGTCGACAGCCTTTCCGCGGCCAGACTGGTCCAATTAAGGGGTATGATACACAGCTGAGATCAGGTCGAAGGAATCAATGAATGCGCTTCAAGCTCAGGATAGTATTGTGCCTGTTTGTGTCGCGCGGGTAGGTATAGTGTGTAGACTGGCTCCTCTGAAAACACTGGGATATCAGAAAGGGTCGGGATGCCCGTGCCTTTGTAGAAGAAACCCTCATCCCAGCCGTTGGATCTTGTGTTATATAAGAGAGCCAGTTGAGCCTATCCCTGCAGCCCCAAAAGGACAGGGAAGACAGGGAGCTACCTTGGAAATGGCAAGCCCACTCGAGACACGCTTCGAAACCAGGTTGTTTGTTTGGATTGAAAGCCAATGTAGTGGATACCGATCCGGACAAGAGAGTGGTGATCGATCTCGATCAAAGGGACAGATTGTTATGATGGCACAGCAGACGAGGTACCTCCCATGTCCCTCCAGGGTTTCCCCCCACCGCGTGTCGCAGGCTGCATGTCCTCTGCCATGGCACCGATTTTTGGCCATCAACAGGTAGTTGTATGTTAAAATATTTCGGGTCATTATTTTGAGTTATGTGATCACTCGCTAGGACCTGTTTCTCCACCATATTGCGTATTCGGCTTGCTTGCCAATCTACTGTGGTATCCATCTTCGCTGTAGCGACGGCTGAGAACTTTTAACGAATGGGGTTGATTAAAAGTTGCGTATAAAAAACGTAGGTGTACATACCGTGGATCAAACGAGCAGGGAAATCCCACACAAGGCAGTTACTGGGTCTACCACCTTGACCTGCTGCAGCACGGGGTTCCAGGCACATCCAATGGAAGGCAATCGCAGTGTCCGAAATCAAGGAACCTTGAGGGCTTCAATGTCCGTGTGGTAACTAAGGCTGTTCCTTGATGGCTAGCTGCACGAAGCTCCGGTTGGAATACCGCACCCCAATCCTGCGCGTCAAATTAGGATTATTGCCCCATCAATTTCTACCCAATGGATAAAGCGCGCCGATTCTCGGGGAGACGGACGGAATAGCAGAAGTCAGTTTGATATGGAGCTCAACCTCCGGGTGCTGTGATTGGAGCCCTTTTTTAACTTTTTTTTTTGAAAAAAAATGAAAAAAAAATAAAAAAAATTCCTTTTTATTCTTTTTTATTCCCAGTATCTCATCTTCCCGAAGCCACTTCATTACAAGGTACAGTCCACCCGTCCTTTGTCAAAAGCTTTTCCGTCTATTGTCGGCATTCTTGCTGGAGGTTGACGTCAAATGCGGGGAGCTTGGACAGCTGTCCGTTACGTAAGGTGCCACAGTTGCAGGGATGTGCCCGCGAATTGGGGCATAACCCAAAAACTTTTTGACACTCGTCGGAAATTCTAATCTTTTATTTTTTTTGCCAGGGCTTATCTTTTACAAAGCTGAGCGTGAAACTGACCCAATTGAAGCTGGATTATATCACTGACCATCTAGTAGGGTTAGGGTTGTCTGACACAGAGGACGTTGTTGCGGTGCTCTACAGCTGCAGCTTTGGTCGGAGCATTTGGTCCGACAGGTGGAAAGAAAGGGCGGGAAATGAAGATACATCAAGGTACTCAGTCCCCGCAAAATGTATTAACAGGCCCACTCCACACGCATTAAGCTCTGGACTACGGATTAGTGCCAGCCACCGCACAGGGGCATCATGCCGGCCTCACTTACGTCACTTCTGAGGCGCGGCATTGGACATTGAGGAAGGTATAAAATAATATCAACCTAGCCCAACCCCCTGTCTTGGAGTTTAATGCGCTTATGTGGGAATTGGTGGGTGTTTTTTTGATAAACATTTGAGCTACTGGGTCATCTTCATCTGAACAGCTTGTGACTTCACACGAATGCACGAACTGTCCCAGGTAGCCAAACCCTGCTATCCGTCATTGCCTACCCGGGGGCCAAGGAAAAAAAAAGTGGCAGAACCGTTCTGGCTGTTGTGCTCCTAAGGCCAGAAATGCCCTGATTTTTTGCTTTTGGAGCTGGTAATTATGGGGAGCTCGGTAGTGGGGGGGTGCAATAGGCGCGAATGCTTTCATGCCTAATCTCGATGGGGAATTACAAGAATCCCATACCGATGTTGCATGGCATTCCTGGCCGCTGCTTGCCCCATCTGATTGGCCTCTTTCAATTCCTGAGGGATGCATCACTTCCAACGGAGCAAATGGCAATTGCCTCACTGACATTCTGCTCCGGACGAACCTTGGCTCTGTACACTAGGTATGCAGTGGAATGGCGTTTTCTGCCTTGATCCTTTCTCTTCTTCAGGTTTTCAGTAACGCCGAAATAATGTCGAAGGCCCACAAAGCGGCACTCCTCGAGCCGGCGCTTGCTGCTTCCAACGCCCTCCCCCTCGATTAGTTCAAAGGAATAATCGTAGGAATGACGAGGGAGTATACATACGTAGACAGTGTCCTTCATTGGATCCATGAGATGACATCACTTCCCGTTCTACTGGAGCCGTCTTACAGCGCCAAAATGGCTCCCGCGATGCGTACTCTACACCTTCTTCAGGGGTGTGGAGCTCTGGTGGGAGTCGATCCCGATACTTTGTCGGCTGTCGATCCTCAGACTTGACATCAGACAGGTTACACAGCGAGCACCATCTGCCCGATTAATCGTTGTTCCATGAAGTACCCAGACGTCCAGATCTCACGCGATCGAGGATCTTTGCCCAGTTCATTCGTTCCCAACTGCCTGCCCACTGGGCCACGTCCTTCTGCTGCTTTGAGGATCTTGAATACTCATGAAGGACCAAGTGGCTTCTAGAACACTCCTCCTGTCTCAGCCACCCGGCATCGACACCCCTCGATGCGACGACTGTAATGGTGATGTTCGATGATATTGAAACGTTCTTCTTGGGAACTTGTTCGCCGATTGAACACAGCGTTTCCAATCTCCCCGTAGGATCACGTCAATCCGTATCAAGACAACCCCGCCCCCCGTTCCCTTTTCGAACGGCATTCCAATGAGCTACGTTGTATGCCGCAAAGGATTACCAAGCCATGGCGACAGGCCTTGCCTGTTGGCTCCAACCAATTGAAGTGTAAACAGCGCAGGTAATGATCGCCGCATTGGTAGGGAGCTCTCATCAGCTGACCTTCGGCCGGACCCCGAGCCATTGATACTATGGTAGCTGCATGCTTCAACGTTGCGCCAATGAATCGGTGAGACCATTGGAAAACATTGGATTCGTATGCGGAGGCATGCAGGTACAGGGGGGTTCCTTTTTGCAGGGTCGTCCACGGCCCCTGGTTCCGGACACCACAGTAGCATTGCTTGCATCATAGAATAGCATGCAACGGCTTTCTTGTCCAACAACTCCTCCCATATGTTTACGCGCAGCTATGAAGGTCCCAAGTACGACGCTTTCCCATGAAGGGAGGGTTACCAGTTGATTGACCTGAGGTACCGGAACATGATACGACTATTATCCGGAATAATCGGGTTAGCTCGCTCGGCTCCAGTGTGCAAAACATGAAGGATTCTGTAGGATCGGGACTCCTGTAGGATTGGGGTCCTGAAGTGGCTCGAGATGATAACCCCGCGTCTCCTCGAACCCCCTCCCCCGGAGCAAGTAGAACAACCAACCCGGCAGAGAGAAAGGGCAAGCAGACATCTGTCGAGATGGAATCTGGTAGCATCGCCACGAAAGCGGCCTCTGGCCTCCGCTACGACCCCAACTGGTGGAAGGTCGCCTCGCAGGCCGAAGCGCCGCCGCCGCCCGAACTCGACGACGTCTTCAAGCTCCGGGCCTTCGCCGAGGAGCTGGTGCACGGCATATCCAAGCGCGAGCCGTACCCGGACGCCGTCGAGGAGACCAAGACGGAGCTCGACAGCCCCGACGGCAGCCACAAGTTCACCGTGAGCCGGTTCGCGACGGCGGAGCAGCGCGCCCCGCCCGAGGAGGGCGAACCCCCGCGGCCGGCGGTGCTGTACCTCCACGGCGGCGGTATGGTCTCGTGCACGGTGGAGACCGTCGCGCCGGCGATCGCGCGCGGTGTCGCCGCGACCGGCGTCCAGTACTTCGCCGTCGACTACCCGCTGGCGCCCGAGTTCCGGGCCCCCGCGGCCGTCGACGACGTCTACGCCGCGCTGCAGTGGCTGTCGCGGGGCGCGGCCGGCATGCACGTCGACCCGGCGCGCATCGCCGTCATGGGCGACAGCGCGGGCGGCGGGCTCGCCGCCGGCGCGGTGCTCATGGCCCGGGACCGCGGCCTGAGCCCGCCTGTCGCGAAACAGGTCCTGGTGTGCCCCATGCTGGACGACCGCACGCGCTATCCCGACGGCTGGCCGCTGCTGGACTTTGTCACCTGGACGGCGCGAGACAACGACCTGGCGTGGGACGCGTACCTCGGCGCCGAGAATCGCGGGAAGCCGGGCGTCTCGGTATATGCGGCGCCGGGGAGGGTCGAGGACGCTGCGGGTCTGCCGAGCACCTATATCGAGGTCGGGGGGCTGGACCTGTTCCGCGACGAGGACATGAGGTATGCGCTCAAGCTGGCGGAGGCGAATGTGGAGGTGGAATTCCATCTGTACCCCGGTGTGCCGCATGGGTTTGAGGGGGGCGTAGGCTCGCACGTCGTGACCAAGGCCCTCGAGGGCAGGATCCGGGCTGTTCAGGCGGTGTAGGCGTAGCTGTGGCTTGCGTGTCAGTCTAGAGTGGAAACCCAAGTGTTCAGAAGAAATGCAAGATGGTTTAATATGACATTAATTAGGACTCTACGCGGTCAGTTCCGTACTGTACGACGCTTGAAGACCATCCTGGCTTACTTCGCAGCAACTTTTCATAGGACTTGATAGTGACAGAGAGGTAGCGGACTGGCTAGTTCTTGGCGTCGATGTTAAAGTACCATGCAGCTGTTTCGATAAGGGCGCATACACCTTGTGGCAGCTGTCTTTGAAGCCATCACCATACCTATTTGTCTTGAAAGTGGGCGGCCGCAAGTGTGGCCATCCAGCCGCTTGAGATATAGTAACCTGGTAATAATCATGGAAGGAATCACAATCCTGATAACCTCTTCACTCAGTAATCTAGGACTTACCTAGGTAGGTAGGTGCCTGATCAGCTTTCAGCCTTGGCCGTTTGATCCTTTTTTGCGAGTCTGGTTCCTTGCCCACAGGCCCGCCCTACGATGCATGAGGCAAGTGATTATTCGGGTTTTATTTCCCTCGATTCTTCTATTTTACATCTGCCATGTTGTTTGGCGGCAACCCACAAAATGAACCATTTCTGCGATTGATGCAACGCATGCAATGCCGGTGCCGGTCCCGTAACAACAGGACCCTGGAGGCACGAAACTGGAATTAGGGAAAGAAAGCAAAGAAAACCAAAGAAAAGAAAGAAGAAGACGACGAGCAATAGAAGTTCTCATCCTCTTTTCCAAGGCAAAGTCTACCACCAACCAGGGGATGCTGGGCGCCACAGAGGGCCCGAGTAACCCGGAGGATACGCTTCCTAGACCTCCTCCAGATAGCCGGGATTGGGCTCGATATCATCCACCATCTCGATGTCGGAAGGTTCGCCGGCGTACTGCCTAAGACGAGGGATGCTGACAAGGTCGTTCTTGTCCTCGTCCCGGACATACATGACGTAGTATGGCTCGCCCTTCGTGGAGAGCTCGTCAAGCACGGCCTGGGTATTCGCGTTTTCCGTAACGGTGCGGTCGTTGTACTTTCGCCAGATGTTCTGCTCGAAATCGAAGATCCACACCCAGTAGTGACCGGACTTAGCGGTCTGACCGGCGTGGCAGATGACAGAGTGAAGGCAGTACTTGTGAGTCTTCATGTCGACGAAGAGATTGTCGAGCTCACTGCGCAACTGCGCCTCGTCCGAGGACATCTTATTGTCCAGCACCTGGGCAGCTTCAGTACCTGCGCACTCAGCCTCGTCGGAGCCGGAGCTGGAGCCGGAGCCATCAGTGAGCCCCGGGGCTGTGGCTACACTGGCGAGAGGCTTTCCATGACGGTCCAAGACATCCTTAAGGCTAGAATCGATCATTTCGTAGCCTTCCTCATCCTTCTCCCAGGCCATGGCAGAAAGATTGGCATCTCCTTCGGAAGCCTCGCCAGAGAGCTTGGCACCTCCATCCGAGGCCGAGTCAGAAAGAGTGGCGTCTCCTTCAGCTGCCAAACCAGACATATTCACGTCTCCCTCTGAGACCGTGCCCGAGGAATTGGCAACCCCCTTCAAGGCCAAGCCCGAAACGTCGGTGCCCCGCGTCCCCATAAAGACGGCGAGGGGATCGGCATTATTGTTGGCTCCTTGGTTATCACCAGACCGCTCCATCTCCTTCAGCTGGGCTTTGATGTCCCAACTTCGCTTCCGTGCGTTGGAGAGCTCGGAATCCTCGTCGCTCTCCATGTAGCGGTCGAGATAGAGCACCTCGGGAATGATAACGGGGTTGGTGTTCTTGCCACCTCCCACCTGCGAGCGTTGAATGCAGATGTGGAAGATGGGCGGCGCGGTGACGATCGAGGTGAAGCTGACCAGCTTGTCACCGATGAACTCCCGTTCAAAGTAGCCATCAAGAGCCCGGTAGAGGCTCAAGGGTCCAGAAGCGGCCGGGTTGGCTGTCACCCAGCGCTCTTGGCTGGTGTGCCGTTTGTACTTCGGCGCGTCTTTCTCCTTGCGCAAGTTGGCAAATGTGATGTAGAGGTTCTCCATGATCTCGTCCCTCTGGCCGCCAACCTCGTTGGCGTTGGTGACGCTTGCGGGGTTGATCGCCGCTCGCAGATGGTTGATGCATCGTCCCATGACCTCCTCGACGTCCATTTGTTCCGTTCCCTTGATCTCGGTTTGGGCAAGCGCACCCTCGAGCGCCTCGATCAGGGCATCCGAGCTCAGCTTCTCCACGCCTCTAGGAGAGTCTCCTGTGGGATTGGCGTTAGCATTAGCTATCTATCTATCTGCTTGCTGCTCTCGATCGCGGCGCGGGGGGGGGGGGGACTTACCATCGGGCTTCTGAGCCTCCGAACGCTCGACGGTCGTTTCGTCAGCACCGGCCTCGAAAACCAGATTCTCAAAAGAAAAGTCGGATGAAGCATCAGGGAGGTTGGTTAGAGTCTGGGAGCTCGAGATACTCGCGGTCTCCGAACTATCTGCCACGGAATCAACCGTGACGGTGGGTTTTGCCGTGGCGCCGGGGCGAGGCACTGGAGGCACCGGGCGCGTTGGGAGTGGGCGCGGAGTCGGCTGGGGCTTGCCACTCAGAGCTGCCTTCTCCTCGTCTTTCTGGACCTTATCGACCGAGATCCACGCCGCATTGGCAAGACGCTGTTGGGGCTTGACGAAACTCGCCGTGGCACTGTCAAGCTCGGAAAACAGCTTCTTGAGTTCGACAACGACTACGGGTGCGTTAGTATCAGCGATGGGCGGTGCTCATCTGCTTACTCACATTCCCGGCCAAGGTAGACTTCTCCGTTCCCGCGAGTGGCCTCGGTCGACGGGACCTCGTTGGGGTCGAAGTTCAGGACAACGTTCCGCACAGCCTTGACGGTGAAGAAGTACTGGAGGATGCTATTCAGATAGCAAGTATTTCGGAGGTTGTCCAGTCCCAGGGGTAAGTTCATGTTCGTCGAATCGATGCTGCAAGTAGCTGATTCACTGTGGGCCAGGGTGCCGGTCAGTTGGTCTGGCTGGTCTCCAAGGTAACGATAGTGCTGGGCTCGCTCCTTCATCTCGGAGCTATTGATCCTGTCGGCAATCGTGTCCATGGCTGCGGCAATTAGGAATGGCTCCTTCCCGTCCTAACCCACCATACAAGTTAGTGCCTAGTATATCCCTCCTAATGGGGAGAGTGACCCTACCCTGATCTGCATCTCGCAAAAGCTCATCAGAACATCGGCCGAGGGATCCACGATCCCCTCGACGTCCAGGAATTGGCAGGCTTCCCTAAAATCGGTAAAGTTGCAGGCGACGTTCTTCATCGCCTGACTGTTCCGAGCCCGACCAATCCGGAATAGCATCTGCCGATGTGTTTTCTTATGCTCGGGATAGTCATGGCACGCGACTTGATATCGGCGGATGGCCAGGACTTCTTCCTCAGAGCCATTTGGTGCGAGCCCGAAATGCTCATAGGCCTGCACGAGCGGGTCATCTACCAGTTGAGGGGCGACCTCTCCCAGCGAGAGCCGCGGCCTGGTCTCCTCGAGTGAGACCGGCGGACCCGTCTCTTCGAGGGAGGCTTGGAGGCCCACATACATCCGAATGTCGTCGCCACGGGAGGTAGCAAGATTCTTCAGGGCACTGTAATAGCTCCTTTTGTTGAGCGAATCTGTCTGCAGCTGGCACGCGAAGGCGAATTGCAACAGATCATCAGACGAATTCATGGGAGCCCCAAGAGCTTTGAAGTCCCGAGGGTCATCATGGGGCTTCGGTTTGGCGGTATGGATGTGGTTATAGCACGAGAGAGCGCGCTCCAGTCGAGCTTTGGCTGGGCTGCTGTGTATCATTACCTGCTCCCGGCCCGTGTCCTCAATCAATGCCATGATCTCGCTTCTAGCGTCCTCATAAAAAGCTCGCTGGCTTCCAATCGGGGTTTTTCCAGGGAAGCTTGGCGGGTGAGGAAGAATGAGATACTCCTCTCCGTTGATAGTGCTGACCGTGAAGCCGAGATAGGTGAATATGGGCAAAGATTCCGGTCCAAACTGGACCACAAACACCTTGTTGCGGGCCGCGACCTTCTTCGGCTCGGATGAGGCAGTATGCGCCAAACTGTCTCTCAGATACGCGTTCATGGTTAGGAGCGACTTCGTCTCTAGATTCTCGTTGAGGTTTGCGAATCTCTCGGGATCTTGCGCGAGAGCTTGCTGCCGCTGTCTCCGGATCCTTTCCTCATCGACGATCCATTCGATATGCTCGACTTGCATCCTTGGCATCGAGATGGATACCTCCACTTCCACCGTGCATCGAGTTGCAGAGCATTCCCATCGGGCAACTTGGGTTTGGGGGCACCACCTGCCGGGCTTCTCGGGAGGCGCGCCCATCTTGGAGGAGCCAACCAGCACAAGGTGGCAGAGCAGGTTTGCCTCGGATGCGCTGCAAGTATGACTCGGGCCTTTCTTGAAGTCAAAGACGAAGTGATACTTGCAGTGCTTGCACATGCACGACAAGATTTCGCCTCGTTCAGTGTCGAGGCACTGGGTTTCCACCAACAGCAGCTCATGGTCCTTTCCGGAGGGCACACTGCCATTCTCAGTTTGCTTACCATCTTTTGCTTGCATCTTCGGGAGAGTCAGCCGGGCAAGCAGTGTCTGGCAGCCCATGAAATAGCCGCCAGGCTGCCCATCGGCATCGGTCAAATCTCCAGCAAACAGGTCATGGAGCCAACGGGGTGCCAGTCGCCCTATGTCATGGTCATTATTAAGTCAAGTTCGACAATTACGGAGACAGTCTTGCTGCCCGCATGTTTTGGGGGTCCTTACCTGGCTTTCCGCAGCTGTTATGCAACGTATCCGACATATCCGGGGCCATGTCGACGCGCACTTTTTTTGCCCTGTTAGCAAGTATGTCCACAGCAGACACGCCACGCTTTAGCCCGCGAGTATGGTTGCCCCAAGGCGGACCATATGGGAATGGCAAACCAGGCAAAGCCATGGGGGGTGATGGCGACGGATGAGAGAAATGGAGGGCCAGAAGAGATTTTGAGGGTGGGATTACTTTTGATGTAATGTGGAAGTTGGTTTTATGAGTTGCTGCTCAAAAACAATGCGAGAGGTACCTAAGACGTCCAGAAGCGGACCTAACTGAGCTATGAGCGCAGGACGCCCTCGCAAGCATCAATGGTTTGGTGAATTGATGCTATTGACAGAAGGCGAGAACAATGAGCGAGGGAGGGCGAGAAGGCGGGGATCGAGGGATCGAGGGGTCGAGGGGTCGAGGGGGGCAGAATCAGGGGCAGTGTCAAGCCTGTTGTCACCCGAGGTCGCCCAAGATGGCCACAAGACAACTCAGGGAAGATCCAGTGAGAGTGCCAATCCAGCCGAGGAGATGTTTAAGGGATGGACAACAATCCCGATATAACGCGGGTCACAGGGGTCACCAACGACAGTCCATATGCAAGAGTGTTGAACAAGTGAGTTGGTGAAGGACAGAGGCGGATCTGGGCCTAGGATTCACAGAGGACGACAGCAAAGACACTCCTCTTAAGAACAAAAGAGTGACCTCACAGCACCAAAGAAGTAGGAATCCAAGGCGTGATGGTGACTGAAGCTGGATAAATGCCCAATATCAGCCATCACGAGCATACGCGGCAGGATGTGTAAGTGTGGCAAGCTAATGCTAGCTGACGCAGCCTTGCCGCCTCGTGAAGTTGGCACCTGGACTCTGCAGGGCTGCTGGAAACGCACGGGCATGATGAGTCATCCACCTCAAGCACGGATATCTACCTAACTCAGCCAAGCAACCTCTCAAATTTCGAGTTTTTGAGGTTTGGGAAGGCTATTATGGTTGGAAAGGAGGCATTTTTACGGTGGGACTGAAAGGGGGTAGTTTCATACGTCTCTTTGGATAACTATCTAGGTACCTAACTGTGCCAATACGATCCATTGCAGTGGACTGTCACGCAGATATTCACGTGACTATTCCTGTGACAAGTGCCTCCTAGCATCCAATCATCTTTAGCCAATTTGCGAGGAGAATTCCACTTGCCCACTCACCCAACCTCTCTTCTTCGTAACCTGCCACTTCCCTCCCCTCCATCACCATCATCATGGCTCCAGAAGGGGACGGTCATTATCACCCAAAGGATGCCGTCTCGGCAGCCGTCACCGGGACCATCGTGACTGGCAGCGCTGGTCTCTTTGTCTCGGCGATCCAGAACTCGCTTCAGAAGCGTAATGTCGGCGCCTGGGGTATTTTCACCCGGACGGGAGGCACAATTGCTACGTTTGGTAAGGTCAATTGCCTCTCGCGGACACTTGCGAGACGTCAATTGGGTTGCTGGCTTTCTGACACGTGGAAATAGCGGCCGTCGGTGGCGCCTACGAGTTCTCCCGAAATGCCGCTGCCAACCTGCGGGAGAAGGATGATCACTACAACGCCGCCATTGGCGGTTTCCTAGCGGGATCAGTTCTCGGACTACGAAGTACGACACCACCTGTCTCGATCCCATCCAGAGAAGTGTCGTGGCTGACCATTGACAGCTGGACGAATCCCCCCGATGCTCGGCTGGGGTGCACTGACAGCCACGGTCCTGGCTGTGTACGAGTATACTGGCGGCGCGCTGTCAGGATCCACGAGAGATAAGGAGGTTGATGAATTCGAGCGGAAAGAATACCTCCGGAGGAACAGGAGACGGCCCCTGGAGGAGACAATCGCTGACGTCGGGGAAGGACGATGTGAGTGATCCCGATTCCCCCCGTGTGAAGAGTAAGCGAGACCAACTGACTTTCTCAGCGATATATCCGCCCGGCTACGAGGAGCGCAGGCGCGAGAGACTCAAGGAGAAGTACGGTGTCGACATTAACCCCGTATCTGTGGATCCGAACGCATAAAAGCGGGACGTGACAGACCTCCAGTTGTACATAATAGATGGAGCTTCGGAGAGTACAACACTCACCGCTACCATAGAATCGGAGCGCTGTACTACTAAGAATTTTTTTTCTTCTTCAACCAGGCCTCACCCATATTTCCGACTCAGGAGGGTCGAAGCCCTGGAATCATTCCACAAATGGTATGTCATTCCCAAGCATTTACTTAACCCTTCCTACTCTATTCCATGATGAGATTCTCTTTTAGAGGCTGTTTATGAATCATTTCATGATTATAACCATACACCTACATTGTTCTTTCCCTGATTGTTATCGTCAAAAACGCGCATCTGTTCGCCTCAAAAAGATTTGGGACTCGGATCTAACTTGGATTTTACTAGTAAAACTCATCCATTACGCTGCCCTATTCTCACCATGATTGATGTCCTCAATGAGCAATATTTAGAGTGATGCCTTGTTTCGCATGCTGTTGCTATTGTCATTCCGACCATTAGACTAAATCCCGAAATGTCCGAAACCCCCGACGCCAGCGACCTGTTTAAATCTCCCCATGGAAGGCAGCCCGAGATCTTCAGGCCTTGAGACCGTTCTATAGTAACTTACCTACCCCGTACAATACCAGAGCATATTATTTCAGCCATCTTACAAACTCTTGACGCTCTGGAAGAACGGGTTCGCCAACAACCGCGCATCCCCCTGGACAAGCTCCTTCATCTTAGCAACCATCTCCTCCTTGGTCATTTCCCCGCCCTTGACTTGGTCCTTCCACTTGACGAGCATGTCCTTCAGCAAGGCGCTCCCTTCCTCCACATCCTGCTTGCTGTATTGTTTGCTCAGGTCGCTCTCGTCATGCTTGCTCGTAAAGTCCTCCAGCTCGTCGGCCTTCCTCTTGGCCATGCGAACCACCTTGTCCGGGAAGCGCACCAGCTCCGCGACGTGGATCCCGAAGCTCTGGTCGCAGATCCCCGGCTCGACCTTGTAAAGCAGCGTGACCTCGCGCTTCTCATCCGCCTCGGCCTCGGGCTTCCGCCCCGTACCGCCGATGTGGGCGGTGACGTGCAGGTTGCGGACCTGGGCGTGCTGGTCGGCCAGCGCCGTGAGCTCGTGGAAGTGCGTCGCGAACAGGGCGAAGCAGCCGATCTCCTTGACGATGTGCTCCGAGATGGCCCAGGCGAGCCCGAAGCCGTCGTACGTGGACGTGCCGCGGCCGAGCTCGTCGATGATGATGAGGGACTCGGCCGTCGCCGACTTGAGGATGTTGGCCGTCTCGAGCATCTCGGCCATGAAGGTCGAGACGCCCTTGAGCTGCGAGTCGCTGGCCCCGACGCGGGCCAGGATGGAGTCGAAGATGGTCAGCTCCGCCTCCGAGCAGGGCACGAAGCATCCGATCTGGGCCATGAGAGCAATGACGCCTATTTGGCGTATGTAGGTCGACTTTCCGCCCATGTTGGGACCGGTGATTATGAGGAAGGATGACTTGTCCCGGGTGAGTTCGACGTCGTTGGTGATGAACTGGACGTCGTCTTGCATCTCCATACAAGGGTGACGAGCCTCTGTCAGGATAGTCTTCCCCTCGCCCCGAGGATGAATCTTGGGGCGAACATATGAGGTGGGCGCGTTAGCGGAGCAGTGTGCCAAGGAGACGATGACGTCCAGGTGTGCGAGAACTCCGGCGAGCCGTTCAAGGACAGGGCAGTAAGACGCTGCGACGCCGACAACCTCGCTCACCAGGCTGCTCTGGGTCCTGTTGTAATTCTGAGACAGTTGGTCGAATTCGCGGCGGAGAGTCTGGAGAGTCTTGGTGGTGAAGTAGACACCGTTCTTTTGCGTAGAGCATTCCTGATATTTCGACTTGTTCCGAATGCAACCAGCTTCGGTTCTTGTCAGTCGCATACACCAGCCGTGTACCTTGTGATTCTCAAGGAAGATCTTCTTGTCCTGCTCCTGGCCAAGATCGCTAGCTGCATTTGCGTACTCCTTGTCCATGTCTGATCGCAACCTGTCGAGTTTCTTCCGAATAATCCTCAGGCCGTCGTCAAATTCTGGCTTGATGATGAACTCGTGGTTGTCGAGTGCATCGAGATCCACTGTTGTCTCGACCATCTCCTGCAGCTTGACCAAGCTGTCGGACAACTCGCGAAGCTTGGTGGTGTATGCCTCGTCGAGAGGGTCGCGGTAGATCTCATCCATTACACCTTCGAGTGTACCAAGAAAACCCGGAAGCCGAATGACAACCTGGTATGCCCTAACAACATCCTCCAGGTTGGCCTTGCTACGCTGGAAGCGCTTGGCCAGTCGATAGAGGTCGGGAACCGATCTAAGATGTTCTTCCTGCATGGTCTGCCGCAACTCGGTGTCGTTAACGAAAGCCTCGACAAGTTGCTGCCGCTTCTCGATCTCGTCTTTGTTCATCAGGGGCTGCTTCAACCATTGTGCCAACAACCTGCTCCCCACTGGAGTCTTGCAGTGGTTGAGAAGGCCGTACAGGCTCATGGTCTTGGCACCATCCCTGACAGTGGGCATCAGGTTGAGTGCTTTCAGCGCAGCTGCATCCAGTTTCATGAATTGCGTCAAATCATGCTGGTACAGCTGGTACTGGCCGAAATTCGAGGCGTCGTGGAGAACACCGAGGTACTTGATAAGAGCCGCAGCAGAGCCCATTGCAAGCTTGAGATCCGTCTGCGGGAGGATTGCCGTCGATCGTTCGTCTTTGAGCAACCTCGACAAGTCCTGTTCAATGTCCTTGGTGCCAAACTCGCCAGCAGGCCTTTCTGATATCGCCACTCCACAGTTGCCAATGATCTGCCTGAGCTTGGCCAGTTCCGGGTCCTTGTCCTTTTCCGCCTTGTCGATCTGGATGAGGCACTCCTTGACCCCGAGTTGGATCAACAGCGACTCGAAGTTCGAATATAGATCATTGTCGAGGAATTCGCTGACACCAAGCTCTCGGACGCTGGCGTCGGCAAAGCACACACCAACGCCCCTCGCCTCGCTTGCCTTGGCCGAGATCTTCACTGCGAGAATCATGGGCGCAGCCTCGAATTGGCCACCGAGTTCGTCCTCCACGTCTTGTAGGTTTCCGGGGGAAGCTTGCTTGACGATCTTCCAATTCATCCGACCTCCGGTACTCGCCCAGATCTCGACTCGCTTCCCAAGTTTGAAGAGCGCTTCCCGAAGGAATTGTCTGAAAACGGTGATCGTCATGGTAACAGAGGCCAAGCCGGTATGGTCGCTCCGTCCTAGTTGCCGTACCACCGATGTGGTCTTGTAGACCTACTCCTATCTATTAGCTAGAAGAAGGAGGTAAGCTGGGTGGAAGACACGGACTGTTCTGGCAATGAAATTGGCATCGTCTCCATGGGCCGTGTACCAGTCGCCCCGGTCGAAAACTCGGACAGTGTCGTCCGAGACAGTGGGAAGAGACTTGAAGAAGCGAATGAATCCATGTTCATCGTCGACCTGCAGTCCACATATGTCAGCTTGGCGGTTTGTGGTCGAGTTCTTCTTGCAGTTGAGTACATACCTTCAATTCAGGCCGGGAGGACATTTTGCTATTCGACCATACAATTGCTAAACTTTGAGTTCTCTTTCAATCAGTTCCGTTACCAATCTTAGGGGTAGATATGCTTCGTTGCTGCAGTGTAAAGTGGAACTTGAGGTCAGAAAATGAGAGGGATTCAGCATAGCTACATACCTAGTAGGAGACGCGTTGGGATACAGGGCCATTAAGGAGGGAGCGCGACGTGACTGCACTAACGCGGAATGGGAAGAGCTCCCTCACCGCCTAGATTTGGTGGGGGTTTCTGCCGTCCCACTTACAAGTTAGAAAAAACCCTCAGACCAGCCATTCGGGAATCGCCAAAGCTTGAACTGGGCATTGGAAGCTCAACCTCTTGACCGGCCATGGAGGGCAATAACATGTGCAGCACAGCAATTGACATGGAAGAGTCAATAATACCCGACAGCCTCCCTCATAATACCATTACCGCCGACCGATCCACCGATCATTCGCCGGCTGCTGAAGAGGGCGAGGGTGGTCAGATCCATGACACCAGTGTAGTTGAACCCAATGCCGCGGCAGGATCGACACAGGCAGAGAGTACAGAATTGGTGGAGGGCGATGGGCAATCCAGCACACCAATATCGAAAAACCAACTTAAAAAACTAAAACGACAACGGGTATGGGAAGAGAGGAAGGGAGATCGCAAACGCCTTCGGAAGGAGAGGAAGCAGGACAGGACAGCTAGAAAACGGGCAGAGAGAGAAGAAAGGATCGCTGCAGCTGAAGCAGCAGGTTTGAATCCCGAAGAGGTTCTCAAAACCGAGAAGCCCAGCAAGCAGCAGCTGAATCCTGTCCCGGTTGCGTTCATCCTCGACTGTGACTTCGAAGAGTACATGCGGGATCCGGAGATCGTTTCTCTTTCGAGCCAGGTTGTTCGGTCTTATTCGCAGAACCGGCACAGCAGTCACCAGGCCCACCTCTTCGTCAGCTCGTTTAAAGGGAAGATGAAGACGAGATTCGAGACAGTGCTTTCCAACAGCCACAAGCAGTGGAAGGGCACATACTTCATCGAGGAAGATTTCCGAGAAGCGGCGAAAAAAGCGTCAGAGCTAATGGCTGGCCCAGATGGAGGCGAATTGGTCGACGTGTTAAGAACAGACGGCGACCAGGCGGCCAAGCAAGGCCGTGTTCTGGACACCACGGATGCTTCTCCTGTCCCAGAATCCGAGTCGGTCGACGTGGACAAGTCTGTCGTATACCTCAGCTCGGAATCTCCATATACACTGGAAAAGCTCGAACCCTACACTAGCTACGTTATTGGCGGCCTCGTCGACCGGAATCGGGAAAAGGGGCTGTGCTACAGGCGGGCGAGGGAGATGAAGGTTCGCACTGCCAAACTGCCGATTGGCGAGTACATGGCCATGCAAAGTCGCTATGTGCTCACCACGAACCAAGTGGTGGAGATCATGTCAAAGTGGCTCGAGTCCGGCGATTGGGGAGAAGCATTCCTGGGCGTCATGCCGAAGAGGAAGGGAGGTGTTCTCAAGGGCCAGAGTTTGGAGACTCAGGACTCCGATGCGAACGCTAATGGCGGCAAGTCTCTCGAGGATGATAAGCAGAACGGGGATTCAGACAACATTGCCGAAGAGTCCGCCCATAATCCAGCTCCGGAAACCTGATCAGACGGCCCGTCGCGAACCGTTCGCACGCCACCATGTAATGGAAGTGAATCAAGTTCAGGGGGCTTTTAGATACCATACAAACAACTATTGTACATATATACAAACAGTCTTTCTAGTTTCTCGAGTTTCCGCTGCGCCTCCCCATTAGAGCTTCAGTATCGCTGTCAGGTCGACCACACTCAAGGTGACCTTATTCTTCGTGCTAGGTAACAGATGTCACGCCCGCATGATCAACAACTTCGTCGGATACCTACTGAGAACCCTCAGATGCCTGGTATACGCCGCCGGCTCGGGGACATCGTACACCTCCCACCTCGCGGCATCACCTAGGGTGCGGTTCACAAAGACACTCTGCCAGCCGTGAGCTGGTCGACTGATGGGTGCTTTGCCTCTGCTCTCTACTCAACCTACCCCCGACCCCTTTTCAGCGGCACTTACATGATGAAGGGCCCCCACACCGGCGTCTCCGTGATTGTTGGGAACCGACCACCCACCCGAGGCAACGTGACTGACAAACTCCCAGGTTAGCTCCTGATCGGTGATAGCGTAGACGTCGATCCTGGAGACCCCCTCCCACGAGACGCCGCCGTCCTTACTCTGGTAGACGGGGAAGTAGACGACCGGCGGCTCGGGCGAGTAATTCTCTCAGGTTGCGAGGAGGATGCCGTCGCGGAGCTCGGCGGTGCGAGGATACAAAACCCGCGGGTCGGTGTCGTTGCTCGGAGGCACGAAGATGACCTTGTTTGAGAAGGTCGCCCCCTGGGAGCTGGGCCCGGGGGGTCCATTCGGAACAGCACAGATGGTGGCAACAGAGACGAGAAAAAACAAACGAGCACCATGATGGATGAAGGTTGAAACATCCAGCATGGACCGTAAAAGAGGAGTCTTCATTTGCAGAGAAGAAGTGACTTGTTCGCCACCTTATACCTGAATTAGCCCTGTTCGCCATTGCTGCCTGGAGAAACTGAGGAATGATAGATGGATTCCAGGTTTCTGTGCTCATCGTACCTTGGACAGCTCGGTGTCGCCGGGACAATGGGACAATGGGCGGGGGTAATTTATTCAAGCAAAGAAGATCGTTCCCAAGTATACGCACCAACGAGCTTCAACCCTGATGAAAGTTGCATAACTGTTAAGATCGTGAATGGCTTCATTATCCCATGTGTCCGTCCCATCCAAGACCCTAACACCATCCCACCCCCCCCTCCCAAAAAAAAAAAAAAAAGTCGTTCCGGTTTCCCCTCAGAACTCCATCGCATCAGCAGGGCTCTCATCCCGTTCTCTCTTAACATTGACATCTCGCTCATCCTTCATTAATGCCAGAACAAATGACCTGAAATATTCCACGTATGATTTGAGACTTGTCTTCTCCCAGTCCACAATCGGCTTTCCCGCAGTCTCCTCCTCAGCTTCTTTCCACGAATCAATTTCTTGCAGGAGGCTCTGGACCGTAGGTACCGCCAAGGGATCGAAATCCTCCAGTGATTTGGTATCGATGGGGACGCAGACCCTGCCCGTGCCCGGATGAACGACGAAGGGACTTTTCAGCAAGTGGTTCAGCTTCTTGCTGACCTCGATATCCAGGCGAGGGTATGTATATTCCAACACGATGTCCTGTTTTGCTTCAAGGAGTGCCTTGGCGTCCAGGTTCTTACTGGCGCCGGTCTTTGCGACAGCGTCAATGTCGGCCCATTTTGAGGCTGATGCACGTCCTGGAGCCGAATCCCACTTCTTCCGTAGGGAATCGTTCAACTGCCTGTCTGGTAGGAGCTGCAGCAGCTTCTCTGCTCGCTCTGGGGATTCCCATGGATTCTGGACGCTGAGAACATCCTCTTGGAAGTGTGTTTTGAGTATGTCGAGACTCCGCCTTCGGATAGGTTGTTAGCACTACAGGAAAGCTTGACCAGCGAGTCGGGGACATACGTCAAGTGCGGATGAAGCGGCCTTCGCAAGTTCACCTTCTTTCCGCTCTGAGCACCACCTCTGATGACCTCGAGATAGCCGGCAATAGCTCTTCGTTTCTGGTCATCCATGGCTCGGGCTTTCTTGTCGCATACCCAAGCGTGCGCTCCTCTCCGTCCAGAGTAGACCCACATGATGTGCTTGAATCCAAAATCGTCCCGCAGGGCAACATCGATGACCTTGATTGCCATGGTCATGAATTGCCAACACTTGTTACAGATGTTGGCCTTGTCGCAGCAAGTTCGAATGTCGTCGTAATCTGTCAAGTCGATATCAAAGCACAACTCCTTAGCCAGGGGCTTGAACGCTGACGAGTTCCTTAATGTCTTCCGGTCGCGAGGATTGACGTTATAGACGGGTCCAATCTCAAATCTCGAGGGCATCAGGCGCAAAACGTCTTTGCGAAGCCTAGAACATACTTAGTCCAGGGGCAAGGTGCAACAACAGGAGAGGGCAAGACCAACAGATCGGAAGTTCGAAAAGATTGGTATCGCAGGTAAGCGTCGTTCTGGAGCGTAAAGGCAAATTCACGATTTCCAAAATCAGCTGTTGGGGCCGGACTGTGGTTGAGCCATTGGAACAGGTAGCGCCATGGGAATAGACGCTGGTAGAAGCTTCGCATAACCTCGGGATCGGACGCCTTGAGAGATGTATCGAACTCGCTTCTGCGGAGTTAGTCGAGAGTCTAGCTGTGAAAGGGGCCTGTGATCTTACCCAGGAGAAGAAGGCGTGTTTTGAGAGCTGGTTGGGGTTTGCTGAGCAGGCTCACGAGAGCTGGGAAACTCTTCGTCTTCATCTATGTCGGCAAACAGATCCTCCAGCTTAACCTCTTTCTTGCTTTCACTGGGTTCCGTGGGAGGAGGCCCAGATTCAGTGCCAACATCGGCCATTGGGATATCATCCTCCCCCTCGGTGTGTTGGCTGTTGCCATTTTCGACGCTAGTTTCCTCCATCTGGATTTCTGATTGAATAGGAGGCTCGGGTTCGGGAGAGACTGAATGGGGCATGGCTCCTCCGGGTCTATCTTGTAGATAGGTGGGCAATTGGTTCAGCGTCAGAGAAGGATTATCGAGTGTTTGCGATTCTACAGCTCGAGTAATCCGTATCGAGCGAAGATAGCAACCTTGGAAGACGATAAATGGGCCTAAGACGAGACGCGTCTTTGACGCGTTAAGCCGTTAAGCACATTAGATAAGCCACTCGATTACGTGATGTATCACTGGCCTCATCAGTGCCCAAATCCCGACCTACCTGATTTGATTTGCGGAACCGTAGCTTTAGCGAGGTTCTGCCGGCTGGGAATTAAACACCCAATAGGCCCAAGCAAACTAATGCATCACCAGGATTCCTGCCAAGCTCTCAATCCAGCATCGAGGAAGGAGTGCCCAGATGAGGCGGGAAATGGGAATGGAAGGCCAATTTCGAGGACATGGAGGTCGGTTATCAAGCTTGCCAAATCCTCATCTACTCCCTCAGCTCTATTCAGCAATTACCTTACCTACCTACTTGACCGACCTAACCTACATCACCTGCCTACTACACTGTATAGTTACACCCCGTCTCGCAAATAGTTCACCCCTCCCCTATCCATCCACCAGCATCTTATCCGGAGCTCCCCCGTAAACCCCGACCTCGCCGTGACCACCTAGAAGCTCCGGCAACACATATCATGTCGCCCCTTCGCCTGAAGATAGAGGACGGCAAGTTTCGTGACGGTCATGGTCGCCAGGTGGTGCTGCGAGGCATCAATGTCGCTGGAGAAGCCAAGCACCCAAGCCAGCCAAATCAGCCGTCGCATGTGGCCAAGGACTTCTTCGACGGTGACAATGTTAATTTCCACAACAGGCCGTTCGCGAAGGAGGACGCGAACATTCATTTCTCACGATTGAAACGATACGGCTATAATAGCATCCGGTATGTCTTCACTTGGGAGGCAATCGAGGCTGCCGGTCCCGGCGTCTACGACGAGGAATGGATCCAGCATACGATCGAGATCCTCCGGATGGCCAGGGGCTACGGCTTCTACGTTTTCATGGACCCCCACCAAGATGTCGTAAGTCTACCACATATATCTATCTGCCCGTCAACTCGCCCTCCAAGCTGACCCTCTCAACCATTCAGTGGTCTCGGTTCTGTGGTGGTTCTGGCGCCCCGATGTGGACCCTCTACGCCTGTGGCCTCAACCCGCAGAGCTTTGCAGCGACCGAAGCCGCCATTGTGCACAACACCTACCCCGATCCAGCCAAATTCCCCAAGATGATCTGGTCGACGAACTACTATCGGCTCGCAGCCGCAACTGTCTTCACCCTCTTCTTCGCCGGCAAGGACTTCGCTCCCAAGTGCATAATTGACGGCGTCAATATCCAAGACTATTTACAGGGGCATTTCATCCGAGCCTGTGCCCATCTGGCGAGGCGCATACACGAAGCTGGTGACATTGAGAACGACATCGTGTTCGGGTGGGAGAGCCTAAACGAGCCCAACAAGGGGATGATTGGCTATGAGGACATCAGCGTCATCCCAAAGGAGCAAGCTCTGAAAAAGGGTACGTCTCCGACCATCTGGCAAACCCTCCTTACGGGCTCTGGAAGAGCAGTCGAGGTCGACACCTGGGACATGGGCGGCCTTGGACCGTACAAGACGGGGAGGGCCTTGATCGATCCTCACGGCGAGATTGCTTGGCTACCCGTCGATTACGATGAGTCGCGATATGGGTTTAAGCGAGATGCGGGATGGAGGCTAGGGGAATGCATCTGGGCGCAGCATGGCGTGTGGGATCCTTCCAACGACACTCTGCTGCGGAAAGACTACTTTGCCAAGCATCCCCAGACGGGCGAGACCATTGACTACCCTTACTTCACAAACCACTATCTCATGGACTTGTATCGAAAGCAGCGCGATGCGGTCCGGTCCTATCACAAAGACGCAATAATGCTGCTCCAAGGGCCCACCTTGGAGCTTCCGCCCAAGATCAAGGGAACCGCAGACGACGAGACGAACCTGGTCTACGCTCCGCATTGGTACGACGGGATTACGCTGATGACCAAAAAGTGGAACCGGACGTGGAACGTTGACGTTCTTGGAGTCCTTCGCGGGCGATACTACCATCCCGCGTTCGCGATTAAGCTGGGCGAGACGGCTATTCGGAACTGCTTTAGAGATCAGCATGCTGCCATGAGACAAGAGGGGCTCGATTATATGGGTAACCATCCGTGCGTCATGACCGAGTTCGGCATCCCTTACGATATGGACGATAAGCATGCGTACAAGACGGGCGACTTCTCCAGCCAGTCGGCGGCGATGGATGCGAACCATTACGCAGTCGAATCCTCAGGATTAGAGGGGTACTCCCTGTGGTTGTATATGGCAACGGTGCGTCTCCCCTGATGACACCCATGGATTATGTGGTCACTAACGGAAAGTCTAGAACGACCACGAGCATGGCGACCAGTGGAACGGGGAGGACTTGTCCATCGTCTCGGTAGACGACAAGCCTCTCCCCGTCTCGCCCCTGCCACCGACACCCGACCCCAACCAGTCAACTGCCAGTCTCATGAAACCTGCATCGCCGTCTGCCAAGAAGGGAGCCGACGAGGATGGCACTGTAACACCAGCCAATCTCAGGAAGACACTGACAAATCCGTCCATCTCCTCCGAACAGTTGCGCCCTTCCCCAGAAATAACCAACGCGCCGGGCTATCGCGCGGCGGAGGCCTATGTCCGACCCGCCCCCGAAGTAGTTGCAGGCACTATAACGAACTACGTCTTCGACCTCCGGCAGTGCCAGTTCTCGCTGACCCTCCAAGCCCCCAAGGTTGCCGAGGAGGACAAGCCGACGGTTGTGTTCTTGCCGGAATACCACTTCCCCAAGGACGGCTGCACGGTGGAGGTCAGCTCGGGCAAGTGGGAGATCAGTAGCGATGACGAGGAGGTCGCGCTCATCCAGCGTCTCAGGTGGTGGCACGGGGACGGGGAACAGAAGCTGACGATCAACGGGCTTGTGAGGAGGCACAACTTCGTCGAGGGGGTCAGCGATGACGATGCCGGCTACTATGAGCAGTGCAATCAGGGGGCGGCTAGCAATTGCACGGTCATGTGAGGACGGGTTGACGAGAAGTGGAGAGCGTGGGTGGTCCTTATCTTCCGCATCTTTGAGGGTTGGGCTAGAAGCCCGATACTGGGATATGGATACTGGTCGCATTTTCAAGGAGTTCGGTGCCATGGCTAGTTTATATTTTCTTGAGATAGCGTCGAGGTATTTCATCTTTGTCTTCGTCTTCGTCCCAGTCGTCGTCTTCGCATATATACAAATATTCAATCACAAATGCATCAGGAACTAGAGAGGGCACCCTGCTTGCTAGCGGCACATTTGGCCTGGTGACTACTTGCCTGAATCAAGGGCACCTGGCAGTGGTAGTATGCCAGATTCCTGCGCTATCTACTGTAAGCGGCCAACGTGCTTAGAAGGAGGCTGGAATAGGCGGTGCCACAGGGAGACGAAGCTGGGTCGACGTCTTTGTCTGGGACGAAGATCTTCCGACGAGGCTTGCAATGGCTTGCTATACGGATAGAAACCACCTGCGGCTCAGACAGCTGAGCGCCACTTACTGCGGATAGCCATATGTGATATCTTGAGCTATGCTCACGCCTCATAGGGCTGAGATGTCAACAAGCGGCATCTAGAGGCACTTAGTTAACAGCCGATAGCGGTCTTTCTGGCCGGACCACTTCAACAGCCGGCACCTCTCACACCTGATGAAGGAGCTGCCGGACGGTAAAGGGCATGGCAGCGAGGCCTTGTTGAAGTAGGTAGGTAGGTATGCATATTATACGAGAAGGGACCTCCCGTTCGGGAACCTACGAGGTACGTACAGTCCGTACCGCAATACTTCCGTATTTCGACAAAGAAGCGCAATGGCATGGAAGAGGGCCTGGCCATTGGATCGTTGCCAAGATGTGTTTCACGAGACGGGAAGCTGTCGTTTCTCTAGCCGTTTCTCTAGCCATTCAGCGCCCCGCACACCTGCCATGCAGCACTTTGGGCGCTTGGAGACGCAGGAATCGTTGGATGGCGACCGACATGGCCCCACTCCCATTGGATGGAAGGTGGACCCGCTCAGGTGCCTCTAATGTACTTCCTAGGTATCTGGTAGTTGAAGAAGGAGTGGGGGAAAAGAAAAGAAAAGAAAAGAAACGAGGAAGAGAATGAGAAGAGAGAAGGAAGGGAAAGAACCCAGCCACCCATGGTCTTCAAACTATTGCGAGAATGACTATGCACAGAGGGCGCCACTTCAGACACGGCTTTCAAAGTCGGGGGCTGGGCTAGGTAATGTACCTCTGCAGTACTTGCGCGGCAGGTGGGCTGACCCTGGTTCTCAATCCTACACATCCATACCTACCTCCACGCTAGTGGGTTGGGAAACGATGGACCCAGGAAACGACCTCGATAACAAAGGGATTCCAAAGTCGGAGCAATACCTTATTGAGGCCTGTGTGGCTCTTGCATTCCTCCTTGGCTGACTAGATTCCGCTCCAAGTTAATCCGCAGTCTTGTCCCATTCGTTGCAGATTTCCGCGACCAGACTTGCTTCCGGAGCCTACCTAGCTCGACTCTTTCTACAAGTGCGCTGCAGTCGAAGACATGGAAGAGAGTGGGTGTTGATTCTGCAGAGTAAGCCGTTCGACATCGACATGCTTGGTCCTTGACCACCACCAGCATGCGCCCTAAGCGATGACGAGCTTGGGCCAGCGACATTCTTCCATACCATCATCGCATACAGCTGAATGAGGCCGTCTGGGGCCCTCCCTGCCTCCATCGCCAGCGCGGCAGCATTCGCGTCCTCGAAAGGAACAACATCACCAGCTTTGGCGGTCTTGTTCTAAGTCGCGCGACCCCCCCCCCCCCCCCCCAAACAAACCCCCCCTTTCTCAGCGACAACCTCCCCACCTCGTCCTTAGATTCGACCTTCAGCATACCCGATCGTATCCTCAGCTCATAGCTGTCTTCAAGGCCGCAACCGATTCTCCGACCGGCTAGAGGTTTCCCCTTCCCAACTTGGGTCGGCTCCAGCCATTCGAAAGAGCGTCGCACCTCTGTTAGCATCGAAATAACTGCCGTCAGCAATGTACCAAAGCGGGCAGAGGGACGTGTCGCGGCCCTTTCAGGTGCCCCCGCCTCCGCCGCCCATGTCCCCGCCTATCGGCCAGCTGAATAACAATATCATGTCCATCCCGCCCCCGCCTCCACGATACCCCGGCGTGCCAGGCCCGGCTGGGGGAGGAGTACTGCTGCCTCCGCCTCCGGGTCCGCCGCCCAACAGCGCATATCCCGGCAGTGCTCTCCCCCCTCCGAGCGCTTTGGGCCAGGCGCCGTGGCATGGCACCTGGGGCAGGATGTATGATGGACGGACAACGTTCAGTATCCCCCCACCGCCACCGGGGGGCCAGCATCAGGCCTACAATCCCAAACTGCACGCGGCGGCAGCTGCCGGCCAGGCAATAGGAATCCCTCCGCCGCCGCCCCCGAACGAGCAGATGAGCGCAACCTACATACCGCAAGGAGATACATACGGCGAGGGTGTTGGGATTCCCGGTCTAGGCCCGACTGCCGAGGAGGAGATGTACGCAGCTACGGCCCAGAGCACTTGGAATATGGGCCAGAATCCCAACGATACCCCCCTGATGACGACGCCCTCGGATGACGCCACGGGGAAAGACAGGCTCTACGCCGCGGCAATACAGGGCAGGATGGCATCGACGACCAGCAATGCAACCATGTCGTCCAGAATCCCCCCCGAGCTGGCCGCGCAGTGGACGATGGACAAGGTCGTCCAGTGGCTACAAGCAAACCAGTTTTCCAAAGACTGGCAGGAAACGTTCAAAGGGCTCAACATCCACGGCGCACAGTTCTTGGAGCTCGGGGGAAGGCATGCCGGCCGAGGAAACTTTGGTATGATGCATCAACAAGTCTATCCGAGGCTTGCAAATGAGTGCAGCGGTAGCGGCACTGGGTGGGATGCGGGCCGTGAACGAGAGGAGGGAAAGCGGATGCGCAGGCTGGTTCGAGTCGTCGTGACCGGATGGTTTCCCGATGCATCCAAGCCTAGCTCGTCGCACTATCGCGACGAGTCTGGCACAGGTTCGAACTTGCAAGGCCAAGGGACGGATTCCGCGGATTCGCCCAATGTAAGTCGATGAGAACAGGGGGGGGGGGGGGGGGGGGGGGGGGGGGGGGGGGGGGGGGGGGGGGGGGGGGGGGGGGGGGGGGGGGGGGGGGGCGCGGGGGGGGGGGGGGGGGGGGCGGGGGGGCGGGGGGGGGGGTGGGGGGGTGGGGGGGTTGGGG